AGCTGTACTGTTAGCATTGGCAGTACTCACGCCTCAGCGGTGGGTCCTACAGCTCTGTAGTTAGCTGTACTGATAGCATTGTTAGCATTAGCAGTACTCACGCCTCAGCGGTGGGTCCTACAGCTCTGTAGTTAGCTGTACTGTTAGCATTGTTAGCATTAGCAGTACTCACGCCTCAGCGGTGGGTCCTACAGCTCTGTAGTTAGCTGTACTGCTAGCAATGTTAGCATTAGCAGTACTCACGCCTCAGCGGTGGGTCCTACAGCTCTGTAGTTAGCTGTACTGATAGCATTGTTAGCATTAGCAGTACTCACGCCTCAGCGGTGGGTCCTACAGCTCTGTAGTTAGCTGTACTGTTAGCAATGTTAGCATTAGCAGTACTCACGCCTCAGCGGTGGGTCCTACAGCTCTGTAGTTAGCCGTGGTGCTAATCAGCTCCGTCTCTTCGTAATCCTTGTTGACTCCATCTCGTCTCTCTCTCGCTCGGTCTCTGTATTTCTCGGCCAGTTCTCTCTCACGCTCGATCTCCTGCTGACGTAGCTTAGCATAGTAGCTGCAACAAAATAAATCAATAATTAATAACCAATAATACGATCAGATCAACTGGAGCTCAGGATTCTGAACCACCACCCATCATACAGATATCTTAGCTCAGTAGAAATACTGGAAATGGGGAAACAGCTAGCTTAGCTTAGGCCAAGCACTAAAAAGCCACTTAGCGGTGAGATTATAAGAGAAGATTTATCTGATCAACACTCTCACCTCTTCTTCTTCCTCCTCCGCGCTGCAGGATCCTCATCCTCGTTGTAGTCCCTTGGCATTCTGGGAAATAAAACATTCTAGTCACTTCCCTCATCACCATTATCTTCATCATCATCGTCACCATCATGGCTCAGAGTTCATCCTGATTGCAGGTGTGAAGTGTTACTCACTCATGGTGCCTGGACTTGGACGGTGGGGCAGAGGAGGGCGTCGCCCGCGGCGTCATCAGCAGCTTCCTGAAGTCATCATTGGTCAGTTTGGACCTGAAGAGAAACACACATTGTTAAAAGACACACACACACACACACACACACACACACACAGGTGTGATACTCACTGAGCAGCCGCTCTGTGGTCGTCCAGCTCGAGGCCTTCAGGGGCCAGAGGGTTGGAGTAACTCTCAGCTGCACACAGAAAACACAGGTTAGTGACAGCAGGGGGCGCCACCGCCTCGGGCGGTGTCTTACCGGACGAAGCCCCCCCGCTGGTTTGAATGGAGAGCAGTGAAGCCAGTTTTGGACCAATAAAATACTACTACAGGGCTACTTCCTGTCGGCAGCAGCGTCTTCTGCGCATGATCGCGCAGCACAACCGCGGTGTAACGACGTAGAGCGGCGGCAGAAACAGCGTAGTCCTGGTAGCTGCTCCAACATGAAGTCTCAGAGAGTTTGAGTCGGATCGTCTCTGATTAATCAGCCAAACACCAACGCAGCGTCACTGATGGACCAATCGTTGTTTCTGATTCGCTGAGAGTTTCTAATCTGAGCAGCACGGTTACATCCCTCATGTCTCAGGGTTTGGATCTCATTTTCGGGCTACATAGAGCCTCCATAGGGGCTCACAGGGTGGCGGGGGGCCGTCCCATAATCTAACCCTAACTATTACACTATGAAATAATATGACATTATGATGAATATAGTAAGATTATATTATTAAATGAATATTATGCTAATTTCTCTTCTTCCTCCTGCAGGGTGTGGGTGGAGCCTCTGCAGTGGACAGATTCAGGACGCTTTCACACCTGTAGCTCGTTCATTTGGTCCGGACCAAGTGAAAAAAATGATACACTGCTGCATTTCAGTTCTGGTCTGGTTCATGTTCACACTGCAGTTTTACAAACGAACCACGACAAGTAACCATGACCTTACTCAGACCTACAGGTAACCTGGTGATTGGCAGCTTTGGAGTGATGTCATCCCGCATCATGAGGACCCACGTGGGGAAACTCCGGTGACTGACAGAAGTTTTGCGGCACTTTAACGCTTCAGATCTGAATCCAAAGAGCTCAGGAAGTGATCATTTATAATAAGCATGAACGGTAGCCTAAAGTCAGACGCAGATCGGCCACACAGCCTAATATGAATAATAACAAGAGGAATAATTGAGGGCTGATCAGCCTACAGTGTGCTGAGGGATCACTGTCACACATGTTGTATGGACTTAATGAACTGACAGAGTGCTAGTTTTTTAAAGAGATTTTAACCTATTAATCAAGTAAAATACCTGCGCCGACAAGTATAGTTACCAAATGATTTTCAGAAACACTTTGTACAGATCAATTATGAGATGGATTTATGAGCTTTAGCTTCGGAAATAATGTTCAGGTCACATCTCTGCTTTCACGGCACAAGAGACCCGCACCAGAGTGCGTTTGAAAGCGCACCGACACCACCTCTTCAAGCAGGTCTCGGTGCGCACTGCTGCATTCACACCTGCCCACGCGACCCGAGGGGGGAAACGAACTCTCGCGAGATTCAACCGAACTGAATGAGGCAGGTGTGAAAGCGAGCCAGGACGCTCCTCCTGACAGCAACACGCTGCCCTTTACTGTGCTGTTGAGTTTCTGTTGATCTCGGTAACATAAAGTGTGTCGTGGGTTCACCCAGCAGGAGGAGCACACACAGTTTAACATGACGTTAACTGAATATTTCCCCCGTGCTCCTCGGGGAAGAGGTTTTGGCGTCCTGCGTGTTTCTGAGCACCGGCCCTGCTCTGGTTGGTCTGCAGGGAAACACAGAGTATAAACTGAAGGGTCGCCTGGTGAACAGTATTTATTATGTATTAATTCATCTGCCCGCTACTTTCTCGATCAGCTGATGTAATTACAAACAGCTGTGAGCGGGGTAAAGCAGTAGCTTTATGTGGAGAGACTCAGCTCGTCCCTTCAGCTCTGAGTCTTTAAAGTGGACGGAGTCTGGTGCGGAGGTCGGAGTCGAGCTAAGCTAGCTGAGCAGAGTGACTCGGCGTTTATACGGTCTGATAACAGGAAGCTGCACCGCTTCTTTATTAATAATCAGGTTTAGTTTAAGTTTTATCTGGACGCCTTCTCTGTGTCTTTGTAGCTAACAGCTAGCACGGTGCTAACGCAGGCTGCTAGCCTGTTAGCATGCTAATAAACGTCTCGCTAACAGACTTCCGGTGACTTACTCTCAGGCATCTCGGCGGAGCTGCGGTTTCCTCCTTCAGCCTGAACGAGTCTGTTCCGTCAGAAGAGAAAACCTGAACCCCGCACTGTTTATTTATCTTCGCTGCTAACGTCGGTCTGGTATCTCATCAGCGGATGTTCACTCTGTTGTGATGTTACGTCACTTCCTGTTCAGTTGTAGCCTGGAGGAACTGACTGAGGGCTCACAGCGCCTCCTGCAGGCCGCGCTGAGGGCCCACTGACCCACGTCAGCACATGATGAGATCTTTGTTTAGAAATGAAATGAAATGAAATGAAATGAAAGGTCCATCTGACTGAAGAATCAGTTTCAACAGAAACCTTTAATTCTTCTTCCTCTCATGTTTAACAGGAACGTTATAAAAACACGTGACGTGTGTGTTCACTGTTATTTTCCTGAGCAGCGCTGCCCCCTTCAGGCCAGCAGGGTCCTGCTGAAGGTTCTCCAGGTCCAGCTGGTGTTCATGATTTATTCAACACACAGTTAAATTAATATTTACAATCCAGACAGACGAACTTATGTAAAATACCAGCAGGTATAAAACAGCTTCTTTAGTTTAAATATAAGGTTCAGAGAAAGGATCAGACGGAGTCAGTCTGTAGACATAAAGACAAAGAGTCCTTCTCACTTTTATCTATGAAGATTCTCAGTCATCCAGGTCATAGTTATCCAACGAAGGTTAAAATCAAGGGCAACTGGACTCGGTTGAAGATACTGGAAGACGTTTCGTCCCTCATCACTTTTACTTTGTTTTGTTTTTCATTTGCTGCTTTTACAGAATCACTGAAATCCTGTGAAACTCCCTCAATGTCCAGTGAACCCCGTTTAAACCCAGCAAACCACCTTAATTAACCTGTGAAACCCATTTAAACCCAGCAAACCACCTTAATTAACCCGTTTAAACCCAGCAAACCACCTTAATTAACCCATTTAAACCCAGCAAACCACCTTAATTAACCTGTGAAACCCATTTAAACCCAGCAAACCACCTTAATTAACCCGTGAAACCCATTTAAACCCAGCAAACCACCTTAATTAACCTGTGAAACCCATTTAAACCCAGCAAACCACCTTAATTAACCCATTTAAACCCAGCAAACCACCTTAATTAACCCATTTAAACCCAGCAAACCACCTTAATTAACCTGTGAAACCCGTTTAAACCCAGCAAACCACCTTAATTAACCTGTGAAACCCGTTTAAACCCAGCAAACCACCTTAATTAACCTGTGAAACCCGTTTAAACCCAGCAAACCACCTTAATTAATCCGTTTAAACCCAGCAAACCACCTTAATTAACCCATTTAAACCCAGTAAGCCACCTTAATTAACCCAGCAAACCACCTTAATTTACCAAACAAACCACCTCAATAACCCGTAAGACCTGTTTAAACCCAGTAAACCACCTTAAATAACCCAGCAAACCACCTTAATTTACCAAACAAACCACCTCAATAACCCGTAAGACCTGTTTAAACCCAGTAAACCACCTTAAATAACCCAGCAAACCACCTTAATTTACCAAACAAACCACCTCAATAACCCGTAAGACCTGTTTAAACCCAGTAAGCCACCTTAATTAACCCAGCAAACCACCTTAATTTACCAAACAAACCACCTCAATAACCCGTAAGACCTGTTTAAACCCAGTAAACCACCTTAAATAACCCAGCAAACCACCTTAAATTACCCATGAAACCCGTTTAAACCCAGTAAACCCCCTTAAATTACCCGTTAAACTTCTTTAAACCTCGTTAACGGTGCAGACAAACGCAGTAAAGAGGAGAAACAGAGTTCAGACATTAATAACACTGAAGTTTATTCATATCAACACATTTACACATGAACTGAGTGAAGCAGGCGAGTTTTCCGGGCCGAACCACTTCCAGTAGAAACGGGGGGGGTCAGGGTTTGGACTGAACCAGAGTCTGAAGAGCTTTGGCCACCTGATCAGCTGACATGTTGTCCACCAAGACACTGTTCTCCTTCCCGAAACCTGAACACAGGACACACATTAATATTTACATTTATTCATTTAGCTGACGCTTTTATCCAAAGCGACTTACAGCTGCTGTACATGTCAGAGGTCGCAGCCTCTGCAGCAACGAGGGGTTAAGTGTCAGGGACACAATGGTGGATGGGTCACAGTGGGGGATTGAAGCCGGGTCTCCCACACCAAAGGCAGGCATCTAATCTATGCGCCATTATCACCAATATTATCACCAGGAGCTTAACTGAGACCTTTACTGACAATCTTCAACAGAAATCCAGAAACTGAACTTTAGTTGGCTCCTTCAGTCTGGACTCAGTAAAACGCGGTCAGGTCAGAAACCTGATGTCTCTGACATGCGATAAAACATACTGATCCATAAAAGCTCAAATGTTCTGCTGACACAGAACCTGCAGGCGGAAACATGCCGATGGTTTCCACCCGAGACGCTGCGATTTTAAGGGGAAGCAGCTGGAAGGAGGTGCAGAGGAACCCTGACCCTGCGCAAACCTGGTTCTGTGTAGGTGGTGGTTCTGTGTGGTTCTGTGTGGCCCTATCGACGCCCCTGTAGGTGGTGGTTCTGTGTGGCCCTATCGACGCCCCTGTAGGTGGTGGTTCTGTGTGGCCCTATCGACGCCCCTGTGGGTGGTGGTTCTGTGTGGCCCTATCGACGCCCCTGTAGGTGGTGGTTCTGTGTGGCCCTATCGACGCCCCTGTAGGTGGTGGTTCTGTGTGGCCCTATCGACGCCCCTGTAGGTGGTGGTTCTGTGTGGCCCTAACGACGCCCCTGTGGGTGGTGGTTCTGTGTGGCCCTATCGACGCCCCTGTGGGTGGTGGTTCTGTGTGGCCCTATCGACGCCCTGTGGGTGGTGGTTCTGTGTGGTCCTAACGACGCCCCTGTGGGTGGTGGTTCTGTGTGGCCCTATCGACGCCCCTGTAGGTGGTGGTTCTGTGGGTGGTGGTTCTGTGTGGCCCTAACGACGCCCCTGTGGGTGGTGGTTCTGTGTGGTCTTAACGACGCCCCTGTGGGTGGTGGTTCTGTGTGGCCCTAACGACGCCCCTGTAGGTGGTGGTTCTGTGTGGCCCTAACGACGCCCCTGTGGGTGGTGGTTCTGTGTGGCCCTAACGACGCCCCTGTGGGTGGTGGTTCTGTGTGGCCCTAACGACGCCCCTGTGGGTGGTGGTTCTGTGTGGCCCTATCGACGCCCCTGTGGGTGGTGGTTCTGTGTGGCCCTAACGACGCCCCTGTGGGTGGTGGTTCTGTGTGGCCCTATCGACGCCCCTGTGGGTGGTGGTTCTGTGTGGCCCTATCGACGCCCCTGTGGGTGGTGGTTCTGTGTGGCCCTATCGACGCCCCTGTAGGTGGTGGTTCTGTGTGGCCCTAACGACGCCCCTGTGGGTGGTGGTTCTGTGTGGCCCTATCGACGCCCCTGTGGGTGGTGGTTCTGTGTGGCCCTAACGACGCCCCTGTGGGTGGTGGTTCTGTGTGGTCCTAACGACGCCCCTGTGGGTGGTGGTTCTGTGTGGCCCTATCGACGCCCCTGTGGGTGGTGGTTCTGTGTGGCCCTAACGACGCCCCTGTGGGTGGTGGTTCTGTGTGGCCCTATCGACGCCCCTGTGGGTGGTGGTTCTGTGTGGCCCTATCGACGCCCCTGTGGGTGGTGGTTCTGTGTGGTCCTAACGACGCCCCTGTGGGTGGTGGTTCTGTGTGGCCCTATCGACGCCCCTGTAGGTGGTGGTTCTGTGGGTGGTGGTTCTGTGTGGCCCTAACGACGCCCCTGTGGGTGGTGGTTCTGTGTGGTCTTAACGACGCCCCTGTGGGTGGTGGTTCTGTGTGGCCCTAACGACGCCCCTGTAGGTGGTGGTTCTGTGTGGCCCTAACGACGCCCCTGTGGGTGGTGGTTCTGTGTGGCCCTAACGACGCCCCTGTGGGTGGTGGTTCTGTGTGGCCCTATCGACGCCCCTGTGGGTGGTGGTTCTGTGTGGCCCTAACGACGCCCCTGTGGGTGGTGGTTCTGTGTGGCCCTATCGACGCCCCTGTGGGTGGTGGTTCTGTGTGGCCCTATCGACGCCCCTGTGGGTGGTGGTTCTGTGTGGCCCTATCGACGCCCCTGTAGGTGGTGGTTCTGTGTGGCCCTAACGACGCCCCTGCGGGTGGTGGTTCTGTGTGGCCCTAACGACGCCCCTGCGGGTGGTGGTTCTGTGTGGCCCTAACGACGCCCCTGCGGGTGGTGGTTCTGTGTGGTCCTAACGACGCCCCTGTGGGTGGTGGTTCTGTGTGGTCTTAACGACGCCCCTATAGGTGGTGGTTCTGTGTGGTCTTAACGACGCCCCTGTAGGTGGTGGTTCTGTGTGGTCTTAACGACACCCCTATGGGTGGTGGTTCTGACTCACCATATCGGGCCCAGATCCGGGCCTGGACTCCAGAACATTCTCTGATCAGGATCGGGAAGTCTGGGTTGGACTTCTTCAGACTCACGTAGTGCTGCTCCACGAAGTCCCTGCAGAACACAGACACAGTCAGAACCAGAACCTTTTTTGGGCCAGCGCCCCCCTACCCATTATCCAGGTCCCTTACCGCCTCCCATCAAAACAGATGTTTGCTATTTGCCCTCAATATTGTTGATTTTTTGTGTTACTATTGTAACAAAAAGCCTTGTGAAAAGTAATTATATTTAACTAATGTTCCTCCCAGAAACTGTGTCTGAAGCCAGATACTGGTTTCTTGGACGGGGCACTTAATAAGTATGGGGTCCCCCCCCAGAAGATTTTGACCATTAAACACTTAATTTCCTGCATTCTGGTGAAAATTTCTCCTCCAATTTCTGCACCAATTTATGGAGGAAATGTCTAAAAATTCTCCTGTAGATCAACTTATTTAATATCATCCCTGCTGAGTCAACACACATGATTAAGTCTCACCACCTATTTAAATGTGTTTGTGGCCCCTTTTCATCTCAGTAATAAATGAATCTGTTTTAGTTCAGTTATTGACTGGACTTTATTAGCTCATCTGTTAATAACTTTTCATAACTCAGTGTCTCCCGCAGAATGACTGTATTCTAACATTAACTTAGCTCTCCTTATTAGCAAGGCTCCTCACATGCTCGCTAATAACTTTTAATAGCTGGGTCTCCGACATCGACGGCGTTGTGTTGGACAGATTTGTGTTAACGAGGGAGAGAGAGCGAGAGATCGAGGGACGGACGAGAGAGACGAGCGAGAGGATGTGCTGCGTGAATACGAGCTGCCTGCAGCTCAGATACGATTTTAAATAGGCCTAGTAAAAAAAATGGAAGATCAATGTGTGGCGGTCAGCGTTGATATTGTGGCAGGACGCCACAAATAAATGAACGTACGGGAAACACTGTAACTTATCTGCTCATGTTCAAACCTTTCTGCACATTCAGAATCTCTCCCACATATCTGAGTTCTCTGACATCGCAATGGGAGACTAACGTCTTTAGCCTATTTAAAGAGAATTCAGAATATTTTACTACATGCCCTGTACTGCGTTATGTTACTGCTGGAAGTTTCCCCACGACGTCTAACAGACAAACCTGAAGGAGACGAGGAGGCGCTCACGCCGGGGGAAACGAAACTAACCGACACCTGTGATCAGACAGAAACGAATAATTCAGCACCTCTGATAAAGCGCCGCTTACAATCCCCAACAGAGCAACTCGCTGGTGTCGCAGCGTAGTTTCTTTCAGGGTGAGTCCGACAGCAGAATACCTCTCTTGTAAATGTGGAACCACTGAGATAACAAGACGTTCACGCTGTGTTCCTCAGAGAAATAAACACTTTTCCACCACTTCCCACTCTATTTCAAGCATAAGTGTATAAGTTATTATTATTGTGTATCTTTTTTGTTGTCACACTATTTTGCTTGAAATAAATAAATAAATAAATAAAGAGAGTTTACACAGTAAACTTTACAGATGATCCTCTGATCCCCGTGAAGGCGGAGCTGCACCTCAAGCAGCCGACAGAGGAAAAGTACACGTCTCGTCCAGTCGCAGTGGACTAAACTGGCAGGTTTAATGCTGCAGACCACAGTGTTGTGGTCTTTGGTGTAAACTCGCCCCCCAAAAGCAGCTCAGCGCCCCCTTTCCAAAATACCGCTTCCAGCGCCGCCCGTGGTCCTCGGAACGCCCCGTTGAGAAGCAGTAGTCTAAACCCTGGTGGTTTCCTTCCTGTTAGACTGAATAGATTTGGGGCGTTTGACGGCGTCTTCTTGAGCCTCGGTCAAACACTGATGAACATTTCCCGACTGATTACAGAGCAAACTAACGGATTAATCTGGGTAGATTAAAGGTCGCCGCTCTGCAGTAAAGACTTGACCGCCGGTGAAACGGCGCTGCAGCTCCACGCTGTGGAACCTCAGACTCTCCCCGGGCCCTCGTCCTCACTCCAGCTAAGACGTGAGGAAAGGAAGCGAGTGAAGGAAGCGAGGAGACACGTCAGCATAATGAAAACGCACCCCGAGAGACTCCACCCGGGGCGCGTGGGGCTGGGCAATAAAACAATGATCACTGTCACGATATAATTTCCTCAAACGTTTGATTTAACTCATTTAACTTTTCTACTGATATATTTATTTTCTCAAAGAAACAGATTAACTTCACAGATTTGATCCGTTCTAAATGTTCTGTTCTGTTCCTCGGTTCTGCATCAAGACTTCGCTCTGAGCAGAAATCCGCCTTTAAACCTGAAGGAGATGAAGATCTGACTTTCATCCTGATGGTTAAAGATGAGACGTGTTCTCCTGGTAACAGTTTGTTCTCGCTCGGCCTGCGATGTCTGAGGTTTAATGAAATAAACAAGCGGAATCTGTTGTTTACAGCAAACTTCATTATTTCATTATGTATTAAAACATTAAAAAGTATTAAATAGTTTCTTTTTCTATCCCTCTAATAATAATTTCAGCTTTTATCAGGATATAAAATATAAATCTATAATACGGCTACTTCATGAAAATGTTTTATTATTAATGTTAATTTAATGAAGTTATTAATGAGCTGCTAGCTGCTCTCAGGTCACTCAGGCGTTAGCATCAGCTAGCTGCTAGCTGTTAGCTGCTCTCAGGTCACTCAGGCGTTAGCATCAGCTAGCTGCTAGCTGTGTTTAGGTCACTGATGCTAAGCTAACAGGCAGCAGAACCGATCAGGTTCTTGATACCTCGGTGTATAAAGTACGGAGCTCACCTGGCCCCCTTGCTGGCCCCGGAGGTCTGGCAGAGGTGGACGCGGATCTCTCGGAGGTTTTTGCCCAAAGAGGAGCCGATGGTTCTCACCGCGGCCGCCATCTTAGCTTCCTGTGAAGGACGGGGGAAAGGGTTCCTGCGGCCCGGGGTTTATCCTGCCAGGCAGAGAGAGGATGTGTTTCAGCCCGGAATCTGTCCTCACAGGTGTCGAGTCTCCTGCGCAGGCTGCCGTAGAATCCTTGTTTTCTACAGTCTGTGGTATAAATACTTCATTCAGAGTAACTGAGTACATTTTGTACTCCAGTACAAAGGGAATATTCTACATTGACTTCACTACATTAAAGTAACAGCTGGACTGATGAGATGTGGATTAAAAAGTGATGTGTGACTTCTTAATACACCAATAATAATAATACAACTAAACATATATGGATATAAATCTAACGTAAATATCTAATTTAAACCGTTCTGCATAAGGAGTACTTCTACTTTCGGTACTTTGTTCGTCCTGTAATTATACTTTAAAATGTTGGTATAGTTTTACTTCCAGACAGGATGTCGCCTACACTAATATTATTTTCACATTTTCTACAACCATCAATAGAAAATCAATCTGCTAACATTTGGATAATTTACATTTGTTAATTTAGCTGACGCTTTTATCTCAATTTTCTCAATTTTATTTATATAGCGCCAAATCACAACAACAGTTATCTCACAGCGCTTTTCATAAAGAGCAGGTCTAGACCGTACTCTGTGATGATATTTACAGAAGACCAACAGTTCCCACCAAGAGCAGCACTAGGAGACAGAGGCAAGGAAAAACTTCCTTTAAGAGGCAGAAACCTCGAGCAGAACCATGACTCAGGGTGGGCGGCCATCTGCCTCGACCGGTTGGGGTGAGAGAGAGAGAGAGAGAGAGAGAGAGAGAGAGAGACAGAGAAAGAGAGAGAGAGAGTGAGAGAGAGACAGAGAGAGAGAGAGGGGAGGGAGGCAGCCTACACAATATCCACACAGAGGTACAGACAGTAAAGGTGATGTTGCTATAGACTGAATGAAAAATGGTACAGATATTTATAGTAGTGTTAATGATAATAATCATAATGTTAATTATTATAATAACAATAATAATAATAGGTCTAGTAACAATAGTCGTTGCAGCAGAGGGTGTCGAGCAGGAACACGGGGGCAGCAGGTGACCCGCAACCACAGATCCAGACTCCACAGCTCCAGAGCCAGAAACACCTGCAGGAAGTGATAGGAGGAGAGAGGAGAGAGACGAGAAAGCACAAGACTACCAGAAAGGGGAGAAGTTGTGTTAGTAACATGCAATAATGGGATGAGGTTGCATACAGAGGGAGAGAAAGTAGAGGAGAGAGGAGCTCAGTGCATCATGGGAAATCCCCCGGCAGTCTAGGCCTATAGCAGCATAACTAAGGGATGGTTCAGGACTCACCTGAGCCAGCCCTAACTATAAGCTTTATCAAAGAGGAAAGTCTTAAGCCTACTCTTAAATGTGGAGATGGTGTCTGCCTCCTGAACCCAAACTGGAACCTGGTTCCACAGGAGAGGAGCTTGATAGCTGAACGCTCTGGCTCCTAGTCTACTTTTGGAGACTCTAGGAACCACAAGTAACCCTGCATTCTGGGAGCGCAGTGCTCTGGTGGGGTAGTAAGGTACTATGAGCTCTTTAAGATAAGATGGTGCCTGACCATTAAGAGCTTTGTAGGTAAGAAGAATGATTTTAAATTCTATTCTGGATTTTACTGGAAGCCAATGCAAAGAAGCTAAAACAGGAGAAATGTGATCTCTTTTCCTGGTTCCTGTCAGAACACGTGCTGCAGCATTCTGGATCAGCTGAAGAGTCTTAACGGACTTTTTCGAGCAGCCTGATAATAAGGAATTGCAGTAATCCAGCCTAGAAGTAACAAATGCATGGACTAGTTTTTCTGCATCATTTTTAGACAGGATGTTCCTGATTTTCACAATATTACGTAGGTGAAAAAAGGCGGTCCTTGAAATTTGCTTAATGTGAGACTTAAACGACATGTCCTGAGCAAAGATAACTCCAAGATTCCTCACAGTGGTGCTGGAGACCAGGGCGATGCCATCAAGGGAAACTATATCTTTAGATAATGCGTCACGGAGGTGCTTAGGCCCCAGAACAATAACTTCAGTTTTATCTGAGTTTAACATGAGAAAATTACAGGTCATCCAGGTTTTAACATCCTGAAGGCACATTTGAAGTTTAGCTAACTGATGAGTTTCATCTGGTTTGATCGATAGAAATAACTGAGTATCATCTGCATAACAGTGAAAGTTGTTCCAAAGCAACTTACAATTGCTATCCGTGTCAGAGGTCGCACGCCTCTGGAGCAATGAGGGGTTAAGTGTCTCGCTCACGGACACAATGGTGGTTGGGTCACAGGGGGTATTGAACCTGGGTCTCTCACACCAAAGGCATGAGTCATATCCATTGCACCACCACCACCCATGATAAATAAATTATTTTGTTTTCCTTTGAGTTCTGCAGCGTCTCAGACAGTCTGTTGGGACTTGACTTGGGGACCAGCTCACTGGTTTGAGTCCAGCACGGACCACAGTCGAAGGAGCCCCTGACCCCTCACGCTGCTCAGGATGTGTAATGTTCATGTGTTTGAGTATAAATGTGGCTGATGAACGAAAGCTGAAGTTGATCATAATAAATTTTATCTTGTCATCGTCACATTTTAATATTTACATGTTCTACCAAAACAAACTCCCTGTTTGTGGAAACGTTACCGCCCACAGAGCTGACATCCTGCGGCCACTAGAGGTCGCTGCCGGGTTTAAATCCTGAAGCCGTGGGCACTCTTTCCTTCAGGGTTTTGTTCCCTAACTGAAGCTGGAAAATCAGGCAGCTGAAATATTTGTGTTGAAGAGAAACGGAGCTGCAGGTTAGAGTTTGTGATTCTGGTCTCATGTGGATGTGATGGAGGAATCGAAACAAGTGAAAACATGTGGCATTTAAAGCGCTCAGCTGTTTCCACTGATCCCACTCAAACTGGAGAAGCTGTTGTGACTCATCTGATCTGGAGTCAGTTAGATGTGAACAGGCGAGCAGCTGCTCTGCGTGACAAGCTGATGAAGAACGAATAAATAAAAGTAAAGCGCTGATCTAGAAACCGCTTCAAACAGGAGATGTTCGACACAGAAAAGGGAGATGGCAAAACAAAGAGCCTGAGGAGCAGCAGAGACGTCCGGCTTTAACTGAACACAGTGAAACTCTCCCTGTTTCTAAAGGAATTCTCTTGGGTCAGATCCACTGTGAGACACCATTGTGTCCCTGAAATGTACAGCAGCTGTAAGTCGCTTTGGATAAAAGCGTCAGCTAAACGAGTAACTGTAAAATGAATTATACACATTCAGGGGAATGAGCTTTTAGGGTTAGTTTAGAACACTGATACAGAAACCAAACGAAACCTGCCAGCCAGGGAGACGCAGGGCTGCAGGTGGGTGGATTTTACAACCCGTTCTCACTCCCAAGTCGTCACATATGGACACATGGTCTGGACCTGTCGGTGTCACTGGGAAACCCTGTAGGCTCAGGATATTTTTCAGTGCGAGGAAGGAGGTGGAACCAGAACCCGGACTTTCACCCAGGATACCGGTGAAAAAGAAGATTCTGGATCCTTCAGTTCTTTCTAATTGAGACCTATCTCTAAGCTCCCCTTTTCCTCAAAAGTCTTGGAGAGAGTGGTTTTAATCAACTTCAATCATTTTTCATGATTTTCGTATTTATGAAAAACTCCAGTCTGGATTGAAGCCCCGTCACAGTTCTGAAACTGTTTTCAATGATCTTCTGTTAGCTGTTGACTCTGGAAACTCTGCAGTTTCAGTGCTTTTCGATGTGACTGCAGCCTTTGATATGGTTAACCACTGCATTCTCTTATCCTGACTCGAGCAGGGTGGCAGCATTAATTAATTAATGGGGTGGTGATGGCGCAATGGTTAAAACGCCTGCCTTTGGTGTGAGAGACCTGGGTTCAATCCCCCACTGTGACACATCCACCGATGTGGTGGATATAAGTCGCTTTAGATAAAAGCGTCAGCTAAATGAATAAACATAAATTAATCAAATGGTTCAAATCATATCTGGCAGATAGAAGTTTCTCTCAGTCCTCACTTAATTAAAATGTGGTTGGATCAGAATCTGAATTTGTTCATTTCCTGTCTGAAACAATAAATCAACATCGAATGTTTTTATTTAAGTTACCTAGGAGACGAGTTGGGAGTGAGAATGTGTCGTTACCTTTGGACAGAGCCAGAGCCTAAGCTAAGCTAAGCAGCTGCTGGCTGTAGCTTCGTATTTAACGTACACACATGAGAGTGAAGGAAGAGGATTTTACTGAACTGCACCTTCACGGCTGAATTCAGAGCAAAGCAGGCGCTGCAGCTCATCCCCGACGCTCTGCAGTCCGAAGCTTCGGCGTCTGCGACCCTAAACACGGCGAGAAGCTTCCTTTGGTTTGTCTTCAGCCAATTATTAAACGGGCAGCTCAAATCAAGCAATCTGATTGGTTCATAGCAGTGATATAATGAACGTGTATAACGGGTATGACTTCGAATGACTTGAGATATAAGACTGTGAAAATACATAATTACAAAGACCACAAACCCAAAAGTTGCATATGTGACGTCGTAACTTTCTCTGTCAATGACTGAAGCTAACGTAACTGAAGCTAACGTAACTGAAGCTAACGTTACTGAAGCTAACATCAAAACACTGACATGAGAGAATGATGTAATAAAAGAGCCAGGAGTCATTGGATTAAATACATCAGGCGAGATATATTTCTGCGTGGAACATAGCTACATTATCTAGCTAGTAGCAAGAAAGCAATGAATGTTAGCTAGCTTTACCACGCTAACATGTTGGTGACGTATATTGTGCGAGACGAGAGATGTAGTTCGGTTTCACACAAAAAACGACATGTAACTTAATGTTTTACAAAAAAATGTGACTTTCTTGACGGACAAAATTATCTTTTAAATTGACCAACGTCATGTGTGTAATTCAGTGTTCAATTCTAACGGCATAAAAAGATAAGTTGTCTCTCGCCGTTGACTACCGTACATATTTTTTCCAAAATAAGGTCCCATGAGCCAGAAGCGGAAGTGAGTGATAGCCTACTTTCTTTTTGCCAGGCTTGGTAACCGTTTTATAAAAGCAGCAGCTCACCTCAGGCCGTGATATACGCTCATTACATTACAATGAACAACGCCTGTTTTGGAACAGGTGTATAGGCTAATTTTCTACGTTCTTAGCTCCACCTACTGGCAAAAAGAGGAAGTGAGCTAATGGTAAATAGTCAGGATGACAGGAAGTAGTGTTTAGGAACTTCCTTTCCACATGGGCTCTTAGAGGAAGCATCAAGCAGTCCTGTGCCTTAAAGTCCACCAAACAGCTTCATCCGTAAGTTATCTACAACATACAGTCGTATTAACACGTTGATGTTATTATTTCTTGTGTTTGAGCGTAGACAAATTATTAATGACTATTGGTGGATGATCTTAGTGTATTGTTGGATCGACATACCTGTCGTCAGCACCTGGTGTGTCTGTATTTTTTTCTAATGATGTACTAGAGACTGGATGAGTCTTTGCTTTATTTAGAAACAGGGTTATTCGGTACAAACGTCATTAATGTGAAAAACAACAGCTGAAAACCAGAACAACTCTAATGGAAGACAAGTTTTCGGAAGAAGAATGAAGCAAACGTTTCTGGTCTTATAAGTTTCAGGATCAAGTCTGGACTTTACTGTGGATTCAGGACCGCTGACGTTGCTTTATGGCAAACATGACTGTAAAGTGGAAATCCAGAGCAGCTGGTGGAGAATCAGTCGTCCGTCCTGCTGGTCGGCTCTGCAGTCTGCTTCGGTTTCTCGTTCAGAGTTCATTAGCGTTAGCAGGAAGTGAGCAAGCTGCACATGCGGCGTCACGAGTGAACAATGTTTTATAAGCTGGCGTGTTTCCTGACAGTCCTGCCCGCTCCGCTCCGGGTGGATCGCCTCAGAACATCCTCACGCCGTTTCTCGTTCAGAAGCTGCTGGATGCGTCTGTTTTGTGTTCGCTCGCGGAACGGCGGCATTCGCGGCACAAATTGGTTCTGCTGTCCCCTGGTGACGTCACCGTCCAATCCCACGATCCGGTACGGGACCTCGTCGACCGAATTGTTCTCCCTCTTAGAGAGTGGGAAGAAGGAGGAGGACAATGACGCCAACGTTGGCGTAGGTTCAGATTCTGGCAGAAGGCTCCGCCTTCCTGACATTACATCTGGTGGTGATGTGGAGGTGATGATGTCATCAGGATCAGCTGATGCTGTGGCGGTGGGGAACTCTGGGACGGCAGACGTCCTGTCCGGTGCCGGCGTTGGACCATCAGTAGTTACTGTGGGAACCGTAGCAGGGAGCATTATGGGAGAGGTAGTTTTCCTCTTGAATAAATGTGGTGGAGCAGTTTTTCTTGGACGCCTTGTAGTAGTAGTAGTAGTAGTAGTAGTAGTAGTAGTGGTTGGAATGATATCCGGAGTGTCAGAGGGAATAGAAGGGTCACCGTAGGACGAATACTCGTCGTAATTGTCGTACTCCACGTACACAAAGTCAGTTCTGCTCCTGTGGGTGGGGGGCGGAGTTACAGTGAAGATGGTTGGTGGAGTGCTGATGATGTCACTGGTGTTGTGGCGGCTGTCAGACCAGGAGGAAGTGGACGGCGAAGTCATCGCGTCCGTGGTTAAACTCCACAAACTAGGAGACAAAAACAAGAAGCACCAGTGATACCATATTCCTCACAAAGCCACTCAAAGGTTTTCCATAAAACCTCTTGTTCTCAGGCGGATATCATTTTCAGGTCCAGGATATGGTTAGCTGGTTAGCCTAGCTTAGCACAAAGTCTGGGAGCAGGGGGAAACTGTTAGCCACCAAGCTCCAACAACGGTAAAACAATTCACCTTCCAACAACGTAAGAACGAACAAGAGGGAAACACTAACTGTTGGACTGTTCCTTTAAGACCCCCCAACCCCCCCGCCCAGTCGACGGCTGGTCTGACCTGCTGCTGGCGTTCGGCGGCTTCGTGCCGCTGGAGTTGCTCGAGTTGTCGGAGTTGCTGAAGTTTCCCTCGCTGCAGGACTTGCAGCACATCTGACGGTACCCAGCGTTGGAGCAGTACCGACTCAACACCTCCATCTGGCAAAACACTGAGCGGTCACCACGGCAACGCTGCCCTGCAGAACAGGTGGTCAGTCAGTCCAACGTGACGTTTATTTATTGAGCTGTTTAAAAGACAGCTGTTTGTCTGCATCCTGGACGCCAGATCTGAATGATAACATCACATTTACACCTGGTGTTTATAAGTGTTGTCATCACACTGCAGGTTTTACTTTGTAGAGGAAGAGCTCGTCTGTAGCTTTTATTTTGACAGGCAGCTTTAACTGACTCACTGCAAAACAACTAAAATGAGCCCAAGGCAAACAACAAGACCTGATGTAAACCATCTGCAGACAACATCATCACGTGGTCATCATTTTCTATCCTCCTGCAACTCAGCAGAATCAGTAAAAATCACCGTCTGTCAAAGCAAAACCTCTTTAAACCTGCACCGTCATCTTAGACTACAAAAACCTTCACAATCGCCTCCTAAAAGGAGAAGATGAGGAGGAGGAGGAGTCTGTATTTTACTGGAGAAGCTCTTTGGCGCTGTGAAGTTTGAGTTGGACCTGGACAGCCACTGAATGATGGAGTTCTTCTGGTCGCCTGCAGGGGGAGACAAACACACTCAGCTACACACAGACTACAACTCCCAGCATCCCTCCCTCTCTCTGTCAGTATTAATATACGGTGTGAGATTGGTCAACGCATACCGCTACAGGATGGGGCTTTGCAGGTGCGGGTTGTGATCAGTCGAGGCATGCTGCAGTTTCGGGCTGAACCCTCAGGACCCGAACACACAACCTGACGCTCCTGAGTCCCGTTTCCACATGATACCGAACACTACGAACAGAGACATGTCGATCAGACTCTGATGTTCAGAACCTGATCAGTTAGCAGCCTGGGGTCATATTCAGCAAACATCCTCTTAACTGATCAAACTATGTGGTCATCCAGGAAGAAGGATGCGGAAGTCCAGAGACAAGAAAAAGATGAAAGGAAGGAGTTAGAAGGAGTTCAGGAAGAAGAGCTCCAGCCATTTAGGAGGCCCCCTGGTGGTAACATAACTTTGTGACCTTGGGAACAGTTGACTGGTCCGTACCGGAGTCCAGGGCCCGGCTCTCCAGGTGGCGGGGCATGGGAAGCGGTTGCAGGTTTGTTTCCCAGGGGGCCGGTCCTCGCCGCAGAGTTTGCTGTTCACCGAGCGCTGCTGCTGCTGCCCACTGCTGGACGTCTGCTGGCAGCTCACCCAGCGACGCTGCCATCCTGTCTGACCACAGGAGGCGCTGCAGTCCTGCCACTCCCCGGTCACCCAGCTGAGGCGGGAGAACCAGAAGTATATCATTCAATTTGGGAGCTACTCAAGCATTTGTCTTCATTTCCCGTTATTTCTAGTCAGTTAAACTGAAATATTCTCGGTGGTTCGCTCCCCGGCTCCCCGATTCTGCATGTCTAAAGGCTTGCTCAGACTACACGACTTGCCGTCTTGTCGTCGTCAAGTCGTTGCGTTCACACTACGTGACTGATCGGTGACAGGAAGTCACACACTACACAAGTTGACGGCTCTGTCACCAGACGACTGGTTGAAAACTACTTTTTTTCAAGAAAACACGCAGGAAATGAGGTGAAACTACACATGACATAGGAGCTGTCATTATAAAGACTACAGGACTATAGGTGAAAGGATCGGCACACGCGGGGAGCAGGGATTATCTGAGCTACAGAGAGCTGGAGGTCAGTAAAAAGGGGTTTGTAGTTAAAAGTAGTTGCCTGCGGTCATTGGCTGGATGTGGATGTCGAGTCGGCCGTACTCCTCCAGATATTTAGCATGCTAGATATCTGGCTGGCATGAGTGATGCGTTGGCGAGCTACTTTAATGCGGCGCTGAGTAGTTCACATATAATGATTGGCGTGCGCCAATGATTCGCTGATTTACCCCCTATCACAGCCTGGGGTACTGCGTAAGGCATAATGGGCCTTTCAGACAGGCTGTGACGGCTGCACTGCTCTTTTCAATGGCTTGGGGTTTGGTCAATGGGGTTTGTTGCTGCATCGAGCAAAGCGCAGCACAGCGCACTGCTCGCCGACCTCGCGCTCATGCTGCAGTCACAGTTCAAAATTGTTGAACTTTGGCGCTGAACCTGCAGCCAATTCGCTTTGGGCAAGAAACTGAACCCCAGATTGCTCCCGGTGGCTCCGGTGTGAATGTAAAATGCTTTGAATGGACTAAAAGGTGCTACACAAATACAGAACATATACCATTACCATTTACCACAGCGACCTGTAGTGCGTTACCGTGGTGAGCTGCAGGCGTGGGTGTTGCAGTTGCGGCTAATAGCTCTCGGTTTGTTGATGTTGGTGCAGAACATCCTGTGAACCATTTTCCCATCAGCCTTCCTCCGACAGCCAAACCTCGTGTACTGTTTCCCTGGCAACAAGACAACGCTGTCAACTGCCATGCAGCTGTTACCTTGGTAACCACAGAACAGAGCCAGGCTGCGTCTATTAGTTTCCAAACCTACTTCAGATTAAACCACGCCCACGTCTGTATGACAAAAACGGCTGCATTCCCACGGAAACCTCGTTCACGCAAGTCCCACGAAAAAATGACAACAACAGTAGCTTGGAAAATACGGATATGGGGCACTGAGTTTAATGCATTTTTTATTTATCAGACCACAAATTATACAAGAATTGGCCAGTTAGCATGCTAATACTGTTTGTTCAGTGGGTTTGGTGCTGAGTTATGGGAAACAACGTCAAGTTAACAGTTTGAGTCAAGCACAGAGATTGCACAATGTGTGTTATTTGCTTATCACTTTGAAAGTTTGAACTGGCAGGTGTAACATTTCTTTATGATAATAATAGCTTTAGCCCATATAGCTAGCTGTTAAAGTGACAGGAAGTTGCCTCCTTTCTCAGCTTATTGGACTGCAGTCAGTTCAAAGGCCTTTAGTAATGTTAACCTATTGGCATGAGAGAAACTCAAGGGCCGTAATTCAGCTACATGCTCGTACTGAGGACTTCTGGCAGGCTTTAAATGTGTATGAGAAGCAAGAATCAACGTAAGAATCTGTGACGGTTCTCAGTCACACAGGTTCAAATCAAGGGCAGCTGGACTTGGTTAAAGATACCCGAATATGTTTTGTCTCTCATCCAAGAGGCTTCTTCAGTTCAGACTGACTACCAGGCAGCTATTTAACCTCTGTGGGGTCGTTATCCAGGTGATGGACCGCTTGGTTCATTAGTGTTCCCGGCTGTTGGAGACACATGAGGCCAAGTGTGAGCCTTTATTCAGTTTCCTGGAAGGAGATGAGGTTCTCAACAAACACCACATCCCTGTGTTTATAAACCCAAGAACACGCTAAGACAGATCCTGGTCCACCCCAAAGACCGCACAACAAAACACAAGAAAAGCAATGCAGTGAGGAATGCACAGACCTGTATATTGGGGAATTACCACGACGCAAACGCATGGCTCAACACAGAAGGGCCAACTCCTCAGGTCAAGACTCAGGAGTTTACTTATATCTGAAGGATAAAGGACACAACATATTCTCAACCGGGAGGACAGATGGTTCAAAAGAGGAGTCAAAGAAGCCATTTACACCAGAGTAGAGAAACCGTCTCTCAACAGGGCAGGAAGTCTGAGACACCACTTATCCTCCACCTACAATGTCGTCCTTTCATCTCTTCGCAGGAGACTGAACAAACACTCACTTGTGGCCTCAGGTGAAGAAGCCAACGATGGTGGTTTTGGCCTCAAGTGACTCCAAGGACCATAACGACTGTCGTCAAAACAGCCAGAAGCCAACGAACCAGCTGTATCCATGACTTTGCTAACAACCACACAGAGGATAAAAAGCTGGTCTCCCTGAAGAACTGAAGAAGCCTCTTGGATGATATTGGACTATTAGATATATCTGTCTAATTTAACCGCGGCAAATTATCATTAACGGTTCAGTTACCTCAGCTCTGCGGAACTATGATCGTCAGTCACCTTTGAAAAGCGCTAAACAAAAACCTGTAAAGCACACTGAACTGCCCTGGAGTATGAAATGTGCTTCAACAAATAAAGTTGTCTCGCCTATTTCCAAGCTACTGTAGCACTCATATGTCGTGAAGGTGGTTTTATCAGTAACGCAGCCGTCGATGCTTTCGTCACACTGAAGTAGGTTGGAAACAAGATGGACGCTGCCGGGCTGTTACACAGCAGCAGAGTTGCATACCTCCTCCGCAGGGTTTGGAACAGAGTGACCACTTCTTCAGTGCCCACTCGTAGAAGATGGCGTCCTCCGTCACCCGGTTGGACTCCAGCGAGGATCGGAGGCGATCCTGGATGATGTACTTATAGGACACCGTCACCTTGGACTCGCTGTAGGGTCGAACCTGATGGACAGAAGCACAGGCAGGTGGTGGTTCTCTGAATTTAGACTCTATCCAGAAATATTTTCAGCACATTGGACTTCTGTTGACGGACTGACCATGAGGAGGACTTCGTATTTCAGAGGCCCCGTGGTCTGGATGAAATCCTGCTCCTCACTGTTGCTGTACTCCCACATCACACCCTTCTCGATCACCACTCGGGATTCTGGGAGCTCATCTTCATCGTTGAGGAAGAGGTGACCCGTTTCCTGGTTCTTCACGGCTGGAGCAGGAAATAGTGAAAACAAGGTTTCCACAAAATGTGCGAGCTACAGTTCCTCATTCCTTACAAGTTCCTCATGTAGGACAAAAAAAACTCCTCCTCCCTCCTCTTACCCAGGACATGAGGAGTCCCTTTGAACTCCTGGATCAGCAGGTGCCGGGCTCCTTTGGGGATCTCCAGGATCTTCAGGTAACCTAGGTCATGGGAACAATAATCATTTATCAATCAGTAATGAATACAACTGAAACACGATCAGCAGCAGCAACAGATTAGTAACCTATTCCCATCACCGTGCTGTCTACATCGGCACCGGCTTTACACCTGTGTACATTTATTATCGCAAATAAGTTCTGGAAAGTACTTTTACTGAATACCTGCTTTCTGATCATAGTCTCTGTACTGACTGAGGTTTAAAGAGCCTCCATTATTTGACTGGACCATGTTTCAGTCCGACTCAGAACTCTGATCAGACCTTGTTTCTTGGTGCTGCGGGTGAAGTTTCCTTTGATGATCTTACAGCTGGAGTTATCTCCTCCACAGACTCCACATCGATCCTCCTGCTGGTCTGAAGCAATCTGTCCGTCACAACCTACGTGCTGCATGAGGAGGGAGGAAACAAGGACAGAGGAGAGGATACAAGAAGAGAGGAGGAAGTCTAAGTTTTAAGATCAGTGGCTCTCTTTGGGACCAGGCGGCAACCTCCGGCTGTCACCAGGGATACTAGCCAGGAAGCACCTTAAACCTGCATCCCAGCCAGCAGGGGGCGACTCCAGCGGCTGCAGAAAGAAGTGTGATTGTATAGAAGTCTGTGAGAAAATGTTTCTACTTGTCAGCTGATTTATTCCCTCAGTAAACACTTTCCTGATGAGTTTATGGTCTCAGTCTCTAGTTTCAAGTCTTCTTCAACACAGCATGATGTTCATTTAGTAAATTATGGTCCCATTTAGAGGAACAGAGACCAGGAAGCAGGGGAGGCTTTAGGGCGGGGCTACAAGGTGACCGCTGCTCTGTTTTTAACCAGCGCCACTGAAAAAGTTTATCAGGAGTCGGCTGCTCATTTTTCAGTAAGTACGTTTTGTTTTAAACCTGTTTGTCACTAGCTGAAATTAGCATCCCAGCTAATATCATAGTTAACGTGAATTACAGATGCACCTTGCTAACCAAGCTAGCTAGCTCCACCGTCTCGTCCAAATATGGTCACGTCCGGTTCCAAAAAAACACAATGGTGGTGGCCAAAATGCCAAACTGGAGGCTTCAAAAGGATCGTCCACAAACCAGTAGGGGACGTCACGGTGACTACGTCCACTTCTGTTACCCAGTCTCTGTTTGGGACATGGAGGCGACACTGGGTGAAGTACGCCGGTCCACCTCTCTCCACCATTCACCTGGTGAAACTTTACATCTGCTGGGTTTTCATCCTCACAGACAGGACCGTGTTCCAGAGTTGTCAGGGAAAATAAAGAGGCGGAGAATCTGTTTCTAAGTTACTGAAGGTCGGTGAACAGATGTAACAGCTGTCCACCAACAGCACAGAGAAGTGAAACCCCACTTCAGCTCTAAATCTTACAGAGTTAGTTCAGTTTCTGAGACTATACAATCTATCCACCATAACATCAAACTACAAACAGGCTCCTCAACCAACACTCCAACCAGGATGGTGAGAAACCTGGGTGTCATGATTGATGACCAGCTGTCCTTCTCAGACCATGTTGCTGCTTACTCAGTACTACCCAGCTCCTGGTCCAGGCCATGGTTACCTCTCTGCCCTCCTAGCAGCTCTTCCAGCTTGTGCCGTGAAACCCCTACAGATGGTTCAGAGCTCAGCAGCCCGTCTGGTTTCTGATCAGCCCAAAAGGACTCGTGTCCCTCTGTTACTCAGTGACCTCCACTGGCTCCCCAACTTCCTCTGATAACACCTCGAGCCTCTAACATGCACTTTATTTGTTAACTCACTTCTTCCTCCAGGTATTTACCCCATTGATGTCATACGTGCTATTAGCTCGTACTAGTACGTATTGTCACTTGTAGATCTTGTGATCTACTGATGCTTTACTGATGCTTGTATGTTGATCCCTGATGTACGTGGCGTTGGACAAGAGCATCTACCAAAAGAGTAAATGTAAAAGTAAATTTCACTCATTCCACGACCCAGGGCAGCGACAGATTAAGTCCTCCCGAGTCTCCATCTTCACTGATGGACAGTTAACTAAGCTTAACATTAGCTTAGCATTAGTTTAGCGAGGCTTTAGTAGGACAGAACAGGGGATACATGAATGAAGGCGTAAATTTGCCCCAAACACTGTACCACTGTAAACTACTAGCTTACAAATAGAGGTAGTATTTCTGCCACTGTAGTATTTATAGCACTACTGCTCCTCTCTGTCTTTATACTCCAGACTGTCCAAACTGCTGGGTGGTGAGTGTGACATTGCCTGGTGGTTTGGGGTGGACTGTCTCAGGTCTAGAGGACAGAATTACAGATTGATTTGATCTGGATCTCAGTTCTGTGAGCTCTATACTTTGCTATTCTGAACCCGTCTATGCTGTGTTATGGATACATAAAACGTTTTCATTGGAAGATAAAATATAAAAGAAATAAATATAAATAGTTTTCACAGTCCCTTTAGGCAGAGAGAGGAGCAACAAGCTGTTGTAATGAAAAACATTAAAACAATCATATCACATATCACGTTAGGACATATAACAATAATATTTTAACAACTTCATAAAGTTTTACTTTCTCTACCAATGGAATGACATCATCATAACCACAGAGACTAAAGAAGGTGAGAAACTAAGACAAAATAAAGACCTCACACTCTCCTCGGACGCAGACGCTGTGGCCGTCGCTATAGGAACACGGCGTCCCATCATGCACCATTCTCTTCATGGAAACCACCGCCGCCGTTTCCTTCGACTGACAGTACAGACGACAGCGTTCGTCAGCTGCAAACGCAGGAAGACGATAATGTGATGATGCACAAGGACGTTTTAATTAGACTGAACAAAATTATGAAGGCAACCCTTTTGTTTTTGCCCCCATTCATCCTGAGCTGAACTCAAAGGTCTACAACTTTCTCTATGAACACAAAAGGTTTATTTCTCTCAAATATTGTTCAAAAATCTGTCAAAATCTGTGTTAGTGAGCACTTCTCCTTTGCCGAGATAATAATAATTTTGTTCAGTGTATATGATGTGTATTATTATTATCACAGCATGAAAGAGTCAGAGCTGCTTAAGGTGGAACATTTAAGGGGGAACATTAAAAGAGACGGAAACCAAAATATGTTCAGACTTTAAAGAGTTAAAGGGAGGAGAGGCCACAAGTTTCCTTCCAATAACAGATTCCTGACTGATGAGTTTAACATGTGAACACACACACTCACTCAGCAGAGAGGAAACTTTCATCTAATCTCTGAGTTTGGAAAAATGTGTATAAAGTGTGTCGGTGTGTGTGTGTGTGTGTGTGCAGAGTGTGTATTACGGTCAGGGTGTTGGTACGGCAGCCAGTGATGTTTCTTTCCTTCATGTTCATAAAATGGATTCCAGACTTTACACTGATCCTCCCTGAAGGAGAAAAACAACAAATGACCAACAAACAGACAGACTGCTGGGATATGTAACGCATGACAAAGCAACGCATGACAAAGCAACGCATGACAAAGCAACATGCGACAAAGCAACATGCGACAAAGCAATGCACGACAGAGAGGCATACGACAAAGCAAATTACGACAAAGCTGCACACAACAAAGCAATGTACGACAAAATTATGTACGACAAAGTGACGTACAACAAAGCGACGTACAACAAAGCAACGTACGACAAAGCAACGTATGACAAAGCAACGTATGACAGAGCAATGTACGACAAAGTGACGTACAACAAAGCAACGTACAACAAAGCAACGTACGACAAAGCGACGTACAACAAAGCAACGTATGACAGAGCAATGTACGACAAAGCAACGTACAACAAAGCAATGTACGACAAAGTAACGTACAACAAAGCGACGTACAACAAAGCAACGTACGACAAAGCGACATACGACAAAGCGACGTACGACAAAGCGAATTACGACAAAGCTGCACACAACAAAGCAATGTACGACAGAGCAATGTACGACAAAGCAACGTACAACAAAGCAATGTACGAGAAAGTGACGTACAACAAAGCAACGTACGACAAAGCAACATATGACAAAGCAACGTACGACAAAGCTGCACACAACAAAGCAACGTACGACAAAGCAACATATGACAAAGCAACGTACGACAAAGCTGCACACAACAAAGCAACGTACGACAAAGCAATGTACGACAAAGCGACATACGACAAAGCGACGTACGACAAAGCAACGTATGACAAAGCTGCACACAACAAAGCAACGTACGACAAAGCAATGTACGACAAAGCGACATACGACAAAGCGACGTACGACAAAGCAACGTATGACAAAGCTGCACACAACAAAGCAACGTACAATAAAGCAATGTATGACAAAGCAAATTACGACAAAGCTGCACACAACAAAGCAACGTACGACAAAGCAACGTACGACAAAGCAATGCATGACAAAGCTGCACACGACAAAGCAACATGCCTAATCAGAATGCGACAGAACGGCACGCAGTGAAACAGAGAGAACAGCAGATCTACTGACCTGAAGTCCGTCAGTGGGGGACACTCTTCTCGGCTGCACAGTTCGAACTCATAACTATTTCCGAAGCAGGTGCGCCCCCCGTTGGCTGGACTGAGAACAACAAAAGATTAGCCTCTCTGATCTGATCTGTTTTGTGACAGACACAGATGAGTGACAGCTCACTTACATTGGGTTGTCGCAGCGCCTGGCCCGGAACCTGACCCCGCCCCCGCAGGTCCTGGAGCAGCTGCCGTACGGACTCCATGAACCCCAGCCGCCATCTTGTCTCAGCATATCAGGGGTCAACTTCATGCAGAAGCCCTTGAAACAGTGCTGCAACCAGAAACAGGAAGGAGGTTCAGCACAGAGCTGGATTCAGGAGGTGGTTAGCCTAGCTTAGCACAAAGTTTGGAGGTCCAAGGTCTAAAGCTGATGATACACAGATCAACATTTAGAGCAATCTTGCAGGGCAACATTGCTGTCAATGGTAATAAGGAGTAAAGATTACTACTGTAATCCCCTTACCCCACCACTCCGCCACCCGTCCTGCACCGCCGCTATCCGTTCAAAACATAGTCGGACTTGCCACTGGCAAGATTGCCCAGCAACATTGCTCAAAAAGTTGCCCCGTGTATCATCATCTTAAGAGTCTACAGTCCTGGGTTGGGTCTCTAGAAATGTGGTGAGGGTTACAACCCATCCAACAGCTGCTGAGATGTTTCAGTCTGAACCAACGTGGTGGACAAACATTTATCTCCAGAGCCGAACCGCTAGCAGGTCAACAAATCCAAAGAGAACGTTTTTCCTTTTAACTGCTGACATCAGAGGAAAGCCTCAACTTTGTTGATAGAATTGCAACAGTTGACGTCTGGATTATGTGTCCTCACCTTCCCCGGTCCACACTTTGTCCCGTCGAGCGGGGGGCCTTTCTTGGTCTTACAGTAGAACGGGTTGTTGTAGTTGCTGCACCACAGCTGTTTACAAGGATCATGGGTCGGGTACTGGAGACAAACACACGTACACAGAACACATCAAAATACAACAATAAACTATAAACATCAGAAGAACACAGAGATGTTCACTCGGTCTGCAGGAACAAAAGCTGCAACTGAAACCCGTGGGTAGGAACAAACCGCAGATTCTGACTTGTTAAATCATGTCAGACCTGAAAGAAACTGTGAAAATGAATCAATTCAACACAAACATGATAATCACAGACCTGAGAGAGGAAAGTCAAACAACCTTAACGATTAAAGCAAAAGAATTTCATCTTCAGGTTGAAATGTTGGAAACTCCCAGAACAAAGACGTCATCAGATTACAGACCGCTGAAATGTTTCTTAGTTAAGATCCTGACCAGATGTGGTGTTGGCCTCCAACCCAAAAACACATCAGCAGGTCACATCTGCAGTCAGTCTCACTGAAAAACATCCCAAAACTCAAAGACTGAACTCCTGTTTGATTTTAAAGTATCAGAGCTGGAAGGTTTTTCATCCTGAAACTGGATCTTACATGTTTTCTTTGTGCTCCCTGTGGTTTCTGAGTCTATCTGTACGTGTCGCAGTCCTAAAGTTTCCTTAAATATGTTTAACAAACTGTCCAGGAGCAGTTTCTGCTGTAGACGCTGCAGCGTTACTACACACTATAAAGGTTTGAGGCTCCTCCTGACAGTACAAGAGGTCAAAGGTCACCCCTCACCAGATGACCTGGGTACAGACAGACAGAAAGACGCACCGCGGTGCAGAGGCTGTATTCTGGTCCAAAGTCAAAGCGACACTGCTGGTCCATGGAGTACTGAAACCCTGGCAACTGAGGCAGAGCCGGCCAATCGTGGTGGAACGGGTCGTCACGGAGACAGTCATAGGTACTGAAGAGAGACAGACGGACAGGTGTGTTCAGGTGTCGCCCGATATGGAATCAGGGCACAAACATCCATTCTTCTTATTACAGTAAGTATGCTAGTAGTATTGCTTTTAGTACTGACTCCAGGTACTTGTGCAGCTCCCTCCAGCTGCACCTGGACCAGTGGTATCGATAAAAAGTGGCCTGAACCCGCGGAGACATGATACTGCCCAACGGCACGTCGTCAGCACAGTCGTTTGCCTCGCCGTCATGTTCCATCCCTAACCTGAGACAGACAGACAGTCAGGGAGACAGACAGACAGGGAGACAGACAGACAGACAGGGAGACAGACAGGGAGACAGACAGGGAGACAGACAGACAGACAGACAGACAGGGAGAGAGTCAGGGAGACAGACAGACAGACAGACAGGGAAACAGACAGACAGACAGACAGACAGACAGACAGACAGACAGGGAGACAGACAGACAGACAGACAGGGAGACAGGGAGACAGACAGACAGACAGACAGGGAGACAGACAGGGAGACAGGGAGACAGACAGACAGTCAGACAGGGAGACAGACAGAGAGACAGACAGACAGACAGACAGACAGGGAAACAGACAGACAAACAGACAGACAGACAGGGAGACAGACAGACAGACAGACAGACAGACAGACAGACAGGGAGACAGACAGACAGACAGACAGACAGACAGACAGACAGACAGACAGACAGACAGGGAGACAGACAGACAGACAGGGAGACAGACAGACAGACAGACAGACAGACAGGGAGACAGGGAAACAGACAGACAGACAGACAGACAGACAGGGAGACAGACAGACAGACAGATAGACAGGGAAACAGACAGATAGACAGGGAAACAGACAGACAGACAGACAGACAGACAGACAGACAGACAGGGAAACAGACAGACAGGGAGACAGACAGGGAGACAGACAGGGAGACAGACAGGGAGACTGGGAGACAGACAGACAGACAGGGAGACAGACAGACAGACAGATAGACAGGGAAACAGACAGATAGACAGGGAAACAGACAGACAGACAGACAGACAGACAGACAGACAGACAGACAGGGAAACAGACAGACAGACAGGGAAACAGACAGACAGGGAGACAGACAGGGAGACAGACAGGGAGACAGACAGGGAGACTGGGAGACAGACAGACAGACAGGGAAACAGGGAGACAGTCCTACTTGGACACCTGGGATTAATTTATGGCCGCGGCAGCTGGGAGTCATTTTGATTTTGTTTATTGTTGTTTTTCAAAATGTACATTTTGTATTAATGTGGATTTGTTCTAAGTATAAAAGTTCTGCCAGTTGATTTGTGTGTGTGTGTGTGTGTGTGTGTGTGTGTGTGTGTGTCTCACACGTGTCCTGTTTCATGTGCAGCTACGAAGGCCGAGGAAAAACCGTCCTCAAAGACGAGGACACAACTCCGGTGCAGGTGACACATCCCTGTAACTGGAGCATAACCTGCAGAGATCAAAAGCTCCCAGGTCAGGGGTCAGAGGTCAGGGCCTGCTAAGGCAGGTGGCCTTAGTAGTAGTAGTACTCGTAGTAATAGCAGCAGTACCCTGCATGCCGGAGAGGCAGAGCTTATTCCCGACCAGGTAGATGGTGTTAGTAGTTGCAGTATTTGTAGTATTAGTGGTAGTACCCTGCATGCCAGAGGGCCAGAACTCCTGCCTTGTCAGATAGATCATTTTAGTAGTAGTACTTCTAGTATTAGTAGTAGTGTTAACAGTTGTGCTCTGCATGTCAAAGCTGCCAAACTGCCTAGTCAGCAGTAGATGGTCAGGTAGCCAGTTTTAGTGGTAGTGTTTGTAGTATTAGAAGTAGTACCCTGCATGCCGGAGAGGCATAGCTTATGCCTGGTCAGATAGATGGTGTTAATAGTTGCAGTACTTGTAGTATTAATGGTAGTATTAGCAGTAGTACCCTGCATGCCGGAGGGGCCGAACTCCTGCCTGGTCAGGTAGATGGTGTGGTCGTGCTGCTCGGCGTGACTCTGCTCCCTCTGCTGGAGATACGACCATCCACATACGTTCTCCAAACTTTTCTGGGCATTCCCCACAGAGACCATCTCAAGGGACTGTTGGAGAGACACTTTGGGTTTTTACTACGTAGTACTCAGGACACAGAGTGGACACTCTAAAGTACTTAAAACTTCCCACAACAAACTCTAATCTTTTGAATAACACACTGGAAAGGAAGCAGCTATCAGCCCGGGTGGGGATGAGTCGGGGGGGGGGGGGCACAGCAGTGAACAAAGGGCTGGAATCTGTAAAAATGGTGGAAAGTGGAAACGGTGGCTGTCTTCATGTCTTCACCACCTCCCTGACCCTCTGTATCTGGACTTTAAAGTGAAAGTGAAAGTGAAAGCTAGTTATGTGAAATCAGGATTAACAACGTGATCTTGTTTTCTTGTGAAAACAAAACCTGAGAACACAGAACACAGGCGCCCACAATAAATGAGACATGTTTACACACCATCCATTTAAAACGTCTGCCCTGTGGACATCAACCTGACTAAGAAATGTAAATGCTCCGTACTTGTATAGCGCCTTTCTAGTCTTTTCAATCACTCAAAGCGCTTTTACACTACATCTGCATTCACCAGTCACACACATTCATACACTGAGCCTAAGTGCTCAAACAGAAACTAACATTCACACTCACTCATACACTGGCAGAATAGCCGCAATTCGGGGTTCAGTATCTTGCCCAAGGACACTTCGACACGCAACCAGGGGGAGCCAGGGATTGAACCTTCGACCTTCCGATTAACGGCCAACCCGCTCTACCTCCTGAACCACAGCCGCCCCTTTAAGAAAGCGTGTCCTTCCTGAAGAAGACATTCCAGCAGCTGAACATGTTAACATCCAGAAACCTACGGTAGCTTTGAAACAGCGTTTAGTACCTTTGATGGAGACAACATGATGATTTTGACCAGAACAATGTTGATGTTGGCGCCCAGGGAATGATCCTGGTAGATCTCATTGACCTGGAACAGACCGAGAGTAAGTCAGTAAAGTTTATATAATGTAGAACCTTTCACAGATCGAGGTCACAAAGAGTTTCACAAGAGTAAAGAGAAAGGGGGGGGGGGGGGGGGGGGTCTGCAATATATTTTGAGCAAATCAATCCATGCATCTATCTATCAGACCATCATTTCTAAATTTTGGGAAATCCAAGATCATAATCTCAAATTTCTACCTTTCTTTTCAGCGCCTTATAGTGGAGGAGGGGGTTGCTGGTGTGTTGCATGCAGCACCAATTCTGCTAAGGTCATGACGGTAAACTGCTTCCAGGTGAGAGACCAGACAAAGAGCAGTCTGTTGACTTTGATCCAGACTTTACAGGAGAGCACAAAGGGGAGAGTCTGGTGGGTGACCTTTGACCCATGGGACCAGGCCGGGCTGATCCACAACAAAAACGAGGGCTGACTCCCTGCGGACACTGTGATTCCTGCTGAGCTGATCTTCAGGTTGGAGGATTAGGAGACTGGACCTTGGACCCAGCAGGATCAGACTCTTTGTGTGTCAGTGCTTCTTTGTTATTGGAGCTGAAAGGGCTCGAGGTTTCGGATCAGAAACTTTACTTTTTGAAGATCAGAGCGAAGAGAGACATAGAGATGGCAACTGATCATCAGCTGGTGGTGAGTCGGATTAGGTTGCCCAGAAACCCAAGCATAACTTACTTAATGGCCCCCTGTGGGACATAGGGCCACAATGAGCCCCTCATCCCCTCCTGTATTTTGGCAACATGTTGAAGTATGCTGGGAATCTTTATCTTGTTAGTTGCAGCAGTTCTGTCCCAGGTCATTTTGGCCTTTCAGGTTTCCTTTTGCTGTCTCTTCTTATTTCACTCCTGATGTTCTTGCCTTTGGTTTCTCTATTACTCCAAGGTTGTGATCTTCGTTAGGCCAGAAGATGCCACGCAGCCTACCCAGGCGTCTTTTGTAAAATACATCAGTCCTTTTTATATTAGCTTTGTTTCCTGTCAGCATTCGGAGCAGTGATTTTGCTGTTGTAAACAGGGACCTGTTTAAGGCTGCATTGCCCCTGTGTGTCCTGCTTTCCTTGCTGATAAGGCTACCTAAATAAGCCAAAGATGGGGGAACTGGGTAAATCCGGCTGAGGCTTATATTCCAACTCTGGAAGAACCTCTCCAGCATCCCAGGGGAGTTCTGCCCAGAGACCACTCTTTGTGGTGGCAACACAAATCCCACAAGAGGGCAAAGCAGTCGGGGAAGTCACAGGGCTAAAGAAGAGGCCTTTCAGTCTCGATAGACCAGGAGACTCCTGAGTCAGACAGGTAGAGATGCCAGAAAAACCAAAACCACAAGAAGGAGAGACTTGGGAGAGGGATGAATTCAAAAAGGTTTTCTCAGCAGGGGAGGAGTACCATCTTGGTTTAGAAGCCTCTACACTGTCACATGGGGGGTTGGGAGCAGTAGCTATTCTTTCCATTTTTGAAAAAGGTTTACCAGAGGGTTTGCTGAGTATCACACTGTTCATGTTCAGGTGAGTGCTGAAGAGTTCAAATACAACATGACAACAGTAAAGCTGGTATAAACAAAGAAAGAGAGTTTCTTGGCAGACAGTTTATCAGTAAAAATATCAAATCATATCAAGTTAAGTTTCATTGTGAGTTTAATAAAGTTATTAAGGTCGACCAGAAGGCTTGACTGAAGATTGAGTCCCAAAAACTGAGTCATAGATTTGTTTGGGGATTTTGAGCGAGCTGGATCAGACTGTGAAACTAGACTGTGTCCTGGTGGTTGAACATTCGACCAGCTCGTTCATCTCACAGTGATCCTGGAGAGGTCGTGTAAGTTTGACCATCCAGTCTGTACGAGCTTTGTGGATTTGGAGATGATTCGTCCATCTCTGAGATCCACCTAGAGGTTAAACCAGACTCACCACTACTCAGTACTGAGGCAACATCTTCTACATTCACCTCTGAATTAGAAATCTGAGTTTTCACTTACTATGTTCATGAGTGTCAGAAGATATTTCTGGATATGGTCTCGGCCGTGGAAAAGAAGAACTGAGTAGTCCACAGCCAACAAAACCTGGAGGAGCAACAGAGAGTTTAAAGAGTCAGTAAACTCTACATTCAACAGTTCAGCACCCTCTCTCTTCAGCAGTTCATTACCTCAATGTTAAATAGTTCAGCCTCTTCAATGTAGCGCCGTCGTCGAGCTGAGTCGGATCTTGACCCCAACACATTCTGGTTCAAGTTCAGAGAACCTAAAAGAGGACCTGGAGACCAAAACAAGACCAGTCTCAGTAACCATGAAAGACGGTTTCACACAGAGTTCTATAGTGAAGGTAATGTTGTATTTTGTTTTACAGGTTTTCAGGAGTCTGGACATCACACGGGTCTTTACCATCAATGTGATCTCGAGTGACTAACGACTCTCGGGTGACTCTAACGACTCTCGGGTGACTCTAACGACTCTGAGGTGACTCTAACGACTCTCGGGTGACTCTAACGACTCTCGGGTGACTCTAACGACTCTGAGGTGACTCTAACGACTCTCGGGTGACTCTAACGACTCTCGGGTGACTCTAACGACTCTGAGGTGACTCTAACGACTCTCGGGTGACTCTAACGACTCTCGGGTGACAATAACGACTCTCGGGTGACTCTAACGACTCTCGGGTGACAATAACGACTCTGAGGTGACTCTAACGACTCTCGGGTGACTCTAACGACTCTCGGGTGACTCTAACGACTCTCGGGTGACTCTAACGACTCTCGGGTGACAATAACGACTCTCGGGTGACTCTAACGACTCTCGGGTGACAATAACGACTCTGAGGTGACTCTAACGACTCTCGGGTGACAATAACGACTCTCAGGTGACTCTAACGACTCTCAGGTGACTCTAACGACTCTCGGGTGACTCTAACGACTCTCGGGTGACAATAACGACTCTCGGGTGACTCTAACGACTCTCGGGTGACAATAACGACTCTCAGGTGACTCTAACGACTCTCAGGTGACTCTAACGACTCTCGGGTGACTCTAACGACTCTCGGGTGACTCTAACGACTCTCAGGTGACTCTAACGACTCTCAGGTGACCCCAGAGGCTGTAGAGTGAACAAAGTATCTTTGATATGTTGGGCTTCTTTTCTTCACAAAATAAAATTGTGTAAAAGGTGTTGGTATCAGAAGTGACTCTCAGGTATCGAGGTGTGTCCTCATCTTGTTGTAAATACTGAACAGCAGATCATTTGCTGGTGCAGAGTTTAAAACACGCTGAGTCATCACTGATCTGAGAACAGACAGAAACAGATGTGTTGTTGCTATAAATAAATCAGGAAGCAGAACGAATCTCTGGGTCAGAATCTTTCTACATTTAAGTGCTAACAGACGCGAGGTCATGCTGTCAGAAGCTGGAACTAAGCTGTGTTTTCATTGGCCACTGAAGGAAGTGAGAAAAGTCATGCTGAAGATCATGTAGACTGTGTGGATTCAGGATTGGCGTTTGAGATAGAGACTGTAGGTCCACGTGTCTTACCACCTCAGCCCTGCAGATACCACCCGTCAGCTGTTTACTGTAAAACAGACCAGAGAGCTCCACATCATGAACACATGACACGATGTTTTAAACACGCAGGTCAACGTACTGTCGTCCACTAAATCTGAACACAAATAAAGCTTCGGTTCATCTCTCTGTGTCAGGATGCCTTCATGGTGTAAACAGCAGTAACTCTGCAGACCTGAAGGTTAACAGCTGCTGCAGAAGCAGCTTACTGAACAAATCCCCCCTACAGTAGCAACAGGGGGCCGTGCTCTGCAGCCGTTCACAAATATATTACAGTCTGTTCGATAGTTTAAACACTGGAACCAGGCCAGAACTAAAATGTCAAACACCATTTTTCAAAAAGCACAATCATTTCCCTAAACTATAAACCGTGAACTCTGTTCCCTGTTTGGACACGTGAGTCATTGATCTGTCACTGCAGACCCCTTCATCGCACTGACATTCAGGACTGACATTGAGCCCGCAGTTCCCCAGGTGGAGCCACAGAGAACAACTGATCAGTTCTGGAACAACAGATCCAGAAAGACGTGAGAGAAGAGGTCGAGCACACCGGAGAGGAGGAGGAGGATTAGAGGAGGGGAAGGGCAAAGAGTTGAGTAGTCTCTGATGAAATTCGGAGGAAAGAGTACGACCGAGAACCTCAGATCCATGTTCTCCTCCTCCTCCATGGAAGAAGCCCAGACATTTAAGTAGATGTGAGCCAGCAGTGGATCAGTCAAGAGGACGTTCCCCCTGCGGCCTGGCCCGGGCCTGACCAGAGACGGGATGCTGGGCCAGAATACTTAAGTTGTTGTTGTTTGGTGTGGTGTTCAGGACATTAAGGAATAAAAATGTACATGTGTACTTGTTTTGTCTTTTGTTGTGTTCATCGTGTGAAAAGGTTTCTGAGCTGCAGAACCACGAGCAACAGGACTTATTACAGGTGTTTGTTTTCTCTCACAGTGTGTTTTTTTTGTGTGAGGGCTAAGTTTGTCTTTTCAGCAGGATTAAATGGTTTTATTGAAGTTCTGGATTTGTGTTTAGAGTTTTGAGGAAAGGCGGCATTGTTTGAAAAAAACCTGTAAAACTGTAGAATAAAGTAACCCGAGGCTCTGGATTTAGAGTTTGTGAAGCATTTCAGCGGCTGAAGAGTTCAAACACAACATGGAGGCAGTAAAACTGTCTTCATATAAAAAGAAATAAAATTACATGCAAGTTTCTTGGCAGACAGTTTATCAATAAAAATATCAAATCTTATTATGAGTTTAATAAAGTTATTAAGCTCAACCAGAAGGTCCAGAGGCGCACAGGACTAGGGGGGACAGGGGACTGAATAGACAGGGCCCTCATGTGAGGAGGGCCCCAAAGATGCTAGAACGAACAGCTGTGGATGTGGAGAGGGGCCCATAGAGAATGCTTCTGAACAGGGTCCAGATTTTTGATTGTTGTGAGCGAAGGAACTAAGACAATCAATATTTAACCGATATTTAATCAATAACTGACCAGAATGACACGTTTCAGATTAACATGAGTGTGTTTACTGACCCCAGCTCTCTGGATTATTTCCCTTACAGACGTTTAATATCATCTTTTGAACAAACAAGGGACTGTGGAGGATCTCAGACCAGCTGACAGAGTCAGAGACACCTGTTCTGAGTTTGAAACCTGAATCCTGCTTATTTTAAATGCTGAGTTTATAAAAACATCTGTTGATGGAAATGACATCAGCGATCAGAAACAGAAACTGTGAGGTCACGCCGGGCTGCCGGAGTTTAATCGAGGTGAAAGAAAGCTCTCGTCTCATTGGCTGCCGCTGCTTCAAAGGCATTTCAGTGACGGAGAGGACGAACGACTCAGGAGCTGAACTATCTGTCAACTCTGAGCCCCAAACCTCCAAAACCTCCAAATCTCTGAGCCTCGGACTGCCACGTCGCAGCTGGCTGAGTGCGTGTGCGCCTCTGCCAAGTTTCCTGGATGCGTTTCCCAGTTTTCTGACTCGGTCCTGCAGAACCAGCAGCAGCTACACTATAAAAAGCAGATTGTGTTTTGTCCTCTGTGTTTGTGGTGTGAAGCCTCGGTCAGCATCGTAATCAACGCGCCTCATAACTCAAGATTCCTGTCATAACATCCCTGCGTTCAGCTGGAGAAGCATTTCCTGACTGCGAGTTATTGATTGTGTAATCTGATTCTACTGACGGTGTTTGAGGACAACATTTAAATTCTAACTTGTGACACAGCTGCAGTCAGAGGTCAAACGATGGAAAACCATGTGGAGACGACATCAGACTTTTTGTTAGAGTCACGTGTTAATGTGAGGAAGGTCGCAGCCTGCTCATCGCTCTGCACAGCTGATACTTTCTTTACTTCATGTACGGCAGCGTTAATTCACCAAGTCTGTTTCTGTTTATCCACAAACTGCTTTCACTCCTCAGACTGGAGGCTTCTTCAGTTCTGACTGACCGGCTGGGAGTCCCAGCTGTTTAAAACCTGTGGGCTCGTTACCCGGGTGATGGGTACCTCTTGGTTCGTTGTGGACGTAGATACTTAATCATAGTAGAAGCACAATGATCAAGCACTAATTACCAAATCAACTAAATTTAAACATGTCAGCAAAAAAAGGTAAAGTGATTCTCTGATTCCAAAATGCTCCCTGTGGGATATGCAGCTGAGTGGACAACGGAACAAAACCGTGGGTCGGAGAGAGCCGTAGCCGGTAGGCCGGGTAGAAGCACAAAAAGGACAAACGTGTTCCGCTCCTGAAACGTGTCTCAGACGCTTCCAGTGGAGGTTGACGCCGGGCAACAGTGACGCAACACAGCCAGACTTAGTGGACTTTCCGGGTTAGCCCTCCTCCACGGTTTAGCAATGGTCTTTCTAATCAGGTGTAAATGGCCTGTGTCACGTCTCTTTTGAACCATCTGTCCTCCCTGTCCAAAATATGAACATTGTTGTCATCGACAAAGTGTCCCTGTCCTGCAGATGTAGGTAAATTGCAGTTATTTAGTCCCCTTGGTCAACAACACGCCTCACCACCTCCCAACCCCCATAGACTTTGTGAACAAGGTTCAAGGACTGAAACTGGACCCAGATGAAACCATGGTGTGAACTCTTTGTTTACACGTATCCCCTCCATGGAGGCAGGAGACACCGTAAGGACTTGACTGGACTCAGACGTCCCACTGGAGCATAAGCTAGGGAGTCATCAGAACCCTGCACCGCCAACACGTTGTCACTCCCGACTCGTCACATATTGACGCTTGGTCAAGGTCCTTTGCCGTTGCCTTTTAACGCCTTGGGTGCCCCTTTTGCGTCATTTATTGACGTTTAGGGCTCCGCGGTCAGTTAAATAATAATTTACTTAACTTGCCTAACTTAAATAAAAATATTTAATGTTGACTTTTTGTTTCACACGAACCCCGATCTCTTTTCTGTTAAATATCATATACCTGCCTATACCGCCAAAAACTGACGCTACAGGGCTTCCGCTATAGGGATCCCCAGTGCGTTGCAAACGGACGCTGATCGGTCTTGACCATGTGTCCATATGTCCTGAGTCGGGGAGGGGGAACGGGCTGGCACCACAGAGTAAACAACATACCAACGTGTGACCAAGCCCGAGATAACTAACAGATCCACCTGACGGGGGCCCGTACAGCCTGTGGGTACCCTAAATGGACCTTTGTGAAAACAGCCACAAGATTACATTTACTCATTTAGCTGACGCTTTAATCCAAAGCCATTTATTTTGCTATAAATGTCAGAGGTCGCACGCCTCTGGAGCAACCAGGGGTAAAGTGTCTTGCTCAGGGACACACTGGCGGATGTCTTGGTGGGAATCAAAGCCGGGTCCCTCACCACCCCAAGATCCAGAACACCAACACTACGGGGGAGGAGGAAAAGAAGAGTAAACGAAACATAGTGATTCCATGCATGTCTGGAGTATCAGAGAAACTCAGGAGGATCTCAACAAACACCACATCCCTGTGTTTGTCACACACTGAGACAGATACTGGTCCCCCCTAAAGACTAGAAAAGTAATCTAGTGTATGCGGTCCAATGCGGTGAGGAATGCACAGACCTGTATATCAGTGACTAAACAACCACGACACAAACGCATGGCTCAACACAGAAGGGCCGACTCCTCAGGTCAAGACTCTGCAGGAGACCGACGTCTGAAGGATAAAGGACTCTCTTTGAGGACAACAATGTCCATGTTGTAGACAGGCAGGACAGATGTTTTGAAAGAGTGAACTAAGCAATTCACATCAGAGTAGAGAGACCATCTCTCAACGGGGGATGAGGTTTGTGTCTTTGAACGCATCGCAGTGTCTCAGCAGCTCACGGTGGATTCATGAACACGTCTGCACGTCTGTGTTTTCTCACCTCGGAGGAAGTCGTCAGCAGTTTGATTGACAGCTGGTTGTTTTTTAATGATGGCTGAGGAGCGATAAACGATGTGTTGTCTTCCTCCTTCCTCCTCTTCCTCCTCTCCTCCTCCTCCTGTCCTCCGTCGATCCAACGGCTCGATGAAAAACTCTTCCTGACCCGTCCGGATCATCCCGGCCTGCAGAACCAGAGAGAGAGAGCTGTTATCGGCTGTTTAATCTGCTGAGTCGGCATTATTAAAGAGTAAATAAACATTATATAAATGTGAGTCAGCGTTATTCAGAGTGTCAGCTGACGATGACCTGATTTCTTCATGGCTCTGTGTACCGAGGCGTTCCTGTTATTGTGTCCAGCTGCAGATAGAATCAGGTTGTTGTTGCTTTAAGTTTCCTCGGCGGCTGCAGCAGGAAAATTATTCCCTTTCTTTCCTTCTCGTGTTTCTGTCCTCTTTAAACGCCTCGTCTCTGGTTCACATCTGGCTTCAATCAGCCGCCTCGGCCCACGCTGCACCGGGAGAAGCTCAGACACCATCACGGATGCGTCAGGTCGTCCTGTCTCATTCTGTTCTCACGTGGTTTTAATTCAAATGGTTTGATATTTAAATAAAACATCTTCAGATTCTTGATGTTGATCTTTTGACCCCAGGTTTAGTGTTTTTCATCTGTTTTCAGTGTGTTCATGTTTCCTGAGAGTTAACTCTCTGTGGTTTCAGCTGCTCTCGGGTCAGCGTGTACGGAAAGCCAGAAGGCTCAAACAACACCAACATCTGCCTCCATCAGCAGCTTCCTCAGAGGATGATGATGGTGATGTTCTGTGTGGATGATGTTCCTTGTTTTTAATCTGAGAGTCGTTTATTAACATCAGACTTTGGTGTGCCAGGTTTCCCGTGGCGATTAAGACTGAACTTAACAAACAAACCCTCCCCGTTTCATATTTCAGTTGTTGAGTTTTTAGTTTCCAGTTCTTCTGAAGTCCGTTCATGCCTGTCGGTCGAGCCAGAGACAAAGTCTGATGTGTTGCGTCAGACGACTGCGGTCACACTTAATCTCCACACTGTGTTTCTGTTTTAGGAAAATGAAAGTATTATTATTGTTCCCCACAAACATCTGTCAGTCAGAACTCCGTCTTCATGGCTTGGTCTTGAGTGAACTTTATCTTCAGTATTAAAGCTGATTTATAGTTCTGTGTCGAGTCAACGCACGTAGCCACGCTGTCGAGAGCAGTTATTCTTGTTGGTGTCTGTGTCGCTCTGCAGGTACACCATTAAATCACTAGCTGCCGGGGGTTTCTGTCACACTGTGGTGACTTCTGCTGGTGAGCTGGCTAACTTCCTGTTAGCCCTCCGCTAACTTCAATGGGGGTAAACTAATAACCGTTCAGCTCTTCTAGACTTTCCAAATGTGATCGACCCAATGGATCAAACTCTGATGGTGTAAACATGTTGCGGGGGGGGGGATGATGCTACCAATCTGACCTATTGCAGCTCTTGTTCACCCCCTAGAACTACTCACCCCTCTAACAACAACATGATCTCTCCACTCAACAAGCTCAAAGCGCCTTCTCCTTCCCAGAACTGAGCTCAGCACCATGGGTGATCGGACTTTCTGTTCTGACCCCCCCACCCTTCTGCTTTTTGGCTTTTCCCCTCTCCTTTATTGAGTTATAAACTTTTTTAGTGCTGTAACAGGTTTGCAAAGTGAAAAAGCCCAAAGGGAGTTCCCATCTCCCACAGAAAACTCTGCTCTGAACTGAAAACAGCTCGTTTGTAGTCCAGCCGCGTCCCTTTCATCCCTGTGACGTCACAGGGGTGAAAGCTAAACGCGCCTCATAACGCTCGCCGAGCAGCGACTCCGACACGCCCTCAGAAACAGCGAGCTGCAGCACACAGCTCTCCTCTCCCTTCCAAACACTAGCTACCCTCCAGGCAGTCAGTGGACAGAAAGTTGTTCCTGTGATGTAGAGACAGAGCTCAGTTAAAACTTTATGGATACAGATTAATAACTCACCGCTCTGAAACTCTCGCTCCAGTCCGTGTTGCCGAGCCGGTCGGCAACACGTACGGCTGAACCCGAGCCGTTTACCGGCTTCTCGCTGACCCGCCCTTCTCTGCTTCTGATTGGCTAGTTCCTTAACTATGAACTGAGCATGTGCAACTCCCAACAAAGATCATTTAGAGACAAGATGTATCACTCCATAGCTAAAACGAAGCCTTCAACACAGGCTGGAAAGAGGAGCTGCAGCAATGTGCAGTAGGACAAAAATATAACCATGTAAACCTGCTCTGGTACAAACTCTGCATAAGATGAGGAACCTGAAAATGAGCAGAACACCACCTCTTTAAAAAATGTGAAATATAAATAAATAAAAATCATTCAGCTGCTCTCATCAGTTTTCAGCAGATCACAGATAGTTCACAGCTGTTATTATCTGATCAGGTATGGAAGGCCGATGGTGCCTTAAATGCCTGAAAGCTCATAATCAAACGTGGAAAATGATCAAGCGAGTTTTCTGTCAATAGATTTCAATTTAGAATTTAATGAAAAATATTTCAGACAATCTCCTACTTTGATTTTTTCATCCAGTTTTTAAAGAATAATCTGGTTCCGTTCTGTTTTGTACGCTAAAACCTTTCAGTAACTCATCCGTGGTCAGGTGACACCTACCAGCCCGTCACAGTTGCTGATGGCGACAGACGTGTCCTCCATGTCCGACACCTCCCCTGTGTAGAAGCAGCCAGTGTCTCCTATTGGCTGGGAGTGTTTGCGTCCTGACTCCTCCCACCACTCCATGGTGGCGGCTGGGGCGACGAGGCGGGAGTTGGGACGCAGTCGCAGGTGGAGCTCCTGACCAAACACTGTCACGTTGTAGAAAAGCTCCGCCCCAACAGGTTTGTAACCCCGCCCCCTCCAGCTGTGCCCTGTCTGGTTGGACGCTGACGAGTCCGTTAGAGTCTGTCTGTCCTTGTTTGAGTCAGTGAGCGTGTCCTCAACATTGTGGGCGTGTCTTCTGCTGCGGTGAGGGTGATGGGCGGAGACTGAGGCTGACAGGAAACGCCCCTCTGAGTTGGTCCTGATTGGACGAACGACCCCGAACTCTGACAGGACCTGATGGAGAGACTCTGAGGGAGAGAGAGAGACGTTAGTTCAGCTGTCAGACTCTGGCTGTGAAGGAAACCTGCTGCTGTACCAGCAGGACGTACTGATTTGACCTACATGTAGTATTTACTATGCAAACACAAGCAAAATCTGCAGTACACCAAAAATATCTGGATGACGTACTGTTTTGGAAAAAATCTCCAGTCTGCATCGCTTGCTGTGTCCCATAATGCAAAGCGCTGAAAGGCCGATCAACCAACAACCAATCTTTTCTTTAGAGGCCAACAACAGAATTTGAAAATGTGAGTTTAGAGGCTCCACAACTGCCAGCGGGGTTAGCTGGCGAGCTGGGCAAGTCCTGCCACTCGGCCACCATCTTGGCAGCGCCTCCGGGCAGCTATTTTGGACTAACAAGACCAGGCTCCTGTCTGAATGAACAGGTAGAGAGCCAGAACTGAGCTTTTCCAACATGAAAACTACATGAACAGAATCAGCAACAGAATCTGATAAAAATCTCTGAAAAAGTTCGACGACTTTGCCCCAAAATAAGATTTAAAAGGCGTTTTTCCTGACCGGTTAAACTTCTACTGCGCATACGTGGAAGTGGTGACGCATGCGCAGTAGAAGTTTAACAGACCCGTACGTCAGTGGAACCACACAATTGGCTGAAACATGTTTCCCCCTTTGGCTGTTAAAAGCAGACGATTGGCTTTCTAGCGGGAGGGGCGGGATAACTGCCATCTTTGCCGTTTCCCCATAGAGTTGTACTGAGGATGTGACTGAGTGGCGTGTCCCTTCTGTAAAATGTCTCTGGTACTACATAGTACATACTGTATAGAGCGGTTGCCAGTGTGTAGTAGGCTGTTCTGAATTCAGCCTTTGTTTAAGTGATGTCAGCATGATGTCATCATGTTCACAGATATTAGCTGGTGATTCATGTTAATACTGAGACGACGGACACAACTTGAAAGGAAGTGACTGACTCTTCAAACGTGTTCCTGGAAACATGTTGTGACACGTTCTTGTGTCTCTGAGGACAGGCTGCGGCTCGCCAACACTCGCTGCCTAAAATGAGTGAAAGTTTGACCGATAGATACACATGTTAAACCTAAACATCTGGAGCTGAGAGCCAATCAGGGCAGAGCTCATGCTGCAGCATGACATCAGTACAAAGAAGTAAATCATGGAGGCGGCAGCCCGCCATCTGTCTGAGGGCATAGAGGTCAAAGGTCACACACACACCCAGTCTGAGGATGATGAAATATGATCTGAGTACTTCACATTCCCGAAACGCCACAGACGCGTAAACACAAAGATTTATGGAAAAAATGTGAAGAGGAACGTTCTGACTCAGAGAGCAGAACAGTTTCCACGAGGAACCATTAGAGCTGGGAACACTGGGAGACTGAACGCTGCTCTGTGATTGGTCAGCATCATGTCTGCTGACCAGCTGTTTCCCCTTTACTGCAGAGGTCAGAGGTCAACAACCACAGAAGAAGAGCTGGAGGACTGTTTCTGCCAACAATCACACAGCTAACAGTAATACAAGTATAATATGTAGTACGAGTATTAACAGTACTATGGTTAGCAGGAACACATGCAGCAGTAGTAACAGTGCTACTACTACTCATGGCAGTAGTAGCACTGACAGTAGAAGTACTAACTCTAACTGTAACAGCAGTAGTAGTATTAACAGTTACAAATATTATGTTAACAATTGTACTGGAAGTTGGAGTAGTACTAATTAGCAGTATCTGTAGTTCAGCAGTGCAACACAAGGTGCAGGATTAGCAGTAGTGTGAGTAGTAGGAGCCGTTATGCAACAGTGGTACTAACAGTAGTACCAGTAATTGTGTTAATGACCTACATCTGAAGGACAACGGAAACTCTTTTAATGACCACCATGTTCAGATTCTGAACAGGGAGGACGGACGGTTTGAAAGAGACGTGAAAGAAGCCATTTACACCGGAGTGGAGAGACCATCGCTCAACAGGGGAGGACGTATCCTCCACCTACCACGCTGTCCTTTCAGCTCTTCCCAGGAGCCTGAACAAACACTCACATACTGAAGTTTATACTTCTACTACCACTGTTAGTTAATCTGGTAGTAATCATGTAGTTCTGGTAGTACTAGTACCAGTTGTAGTAATATCAGCGGTAGCAGTAGTAGTAGTACCTGTTGTAGTAATACCAGCAGCAGTAGTAGTAGTAGTACCTGTTGTAGTAATACCAGCAGCAGTAGTAGTACTAGTACCAGTTGTAGTAATACCAGCGGTAGCAGTAGTAGTAGTACCTGTTGTAGTAATACCAGCAGCAGTAGTAGTACCTGTTGTAGTAATACCAGCAGTAGCAGCAGTAGTAGTACCTGTTGTAGTAATACCAGCAGCAGTAGTAGTACCAGTTGTAGTAATACCAGCAGTAGCAGCAGTAGTAGTACCTGTTGTAGTAATACCAGCAGTAGCAGCAGTAGTAGTACCTGTTGTAGTAATACCAGCAGTAGCAGCAGTAGTAGTATTAACAGTTACAAATATTATGTTAACAATTGTACTGGAAGTTGGAGTAGTACTAATTAGCAGTATCTGTAGTTCAGCAGTGCAACACAAGGTGCAGGATTAGCAGTAGTGTGAGTAGTAGGAGCCGTTATGCAACAGTGGTACTAACAGTAGTACCAGTAATTGTGTTAATGACCTACATCTGAAGGACAACGGAAACTCTTTTAATGACCACCATGTTCAGATTCTGAACAGGGAGGACGGACGGTTTGAAAGAGACGTGAAAGAAGCCATTTACACCGGAGTGGAGAGACCATCGCTCAACAGGGGAGGACGTATCCTCCACCTACCACGCTGTCCTTTCAGCTCTTCCCAGGAGCCTGAACAAACACTCACATACTGAAGTTTATACTTCTACTACCACTGTTAGTTAATCTGGTAGTAATCATGTAGTTCTGGTAGTACTAGTACCAGTTGTAGTAATACCAGCAGTAGCAGCAGTAGTAGTACCTGTTGTAGTAATACCAGCAGTAGCAGCAGTAGTAGTACCTGTTGTAGTAATACCAGCAGCAGTAGTAGTAGTAGTACCTGTTGTAGTAATACCAGCAGCAGTAGTAGTACTAGTACCAGTTGTAGTAATACCAGCGGTAGCAGTAGTAGTAGTACCTGTTGTAGTAATACCAGCAGCAGTAGTAGTACCTGTTGTAGTAATACCAGCAGTAGCAGCAGTAGTAGTACCTGTTGTAGTAATACCAGCAGCAGTAGTAGTACCAGTTGTAGTAATACCAGCAGTAGCAGCAGTAGTAGTACCTGTTGTAGTAATACCAGCAGTAGCAGCAGTAGTAGTACCTGTTGTAGTAATACCAGCAGTAGCAGCAGTAGTAGTACCTGTTGTAGTAATACCAGCAGCAGTAGTAGTACCAGTTGTAGTAATACCAGCAGTAGCAGCAGTAGTAGTACCAGTTGTAGTAATACCAGCAGTAGCAGCAGTAGTAGTACCTGTTGTAGTAATACCAGCAGTAGCAGCAGTAGTAGTACCTGTTGTAGTAATACCAGCAGTAGTAGTAGTAGTAGTACTTGTTGTAGTAATACCAGCAGCAGTAGTAGTAGTAGTACCTGTTGTAGTAATACCAGCAGCAGTAGTAGTAGTAGTACTTGTTGTAGTAATACCAGCAGTAGTAGTAGTAGTAGTACTTGTTGTAGTAATACCAGCAGCAGTAGTAGTAGTAGTACTTGTTGTAGTAATACCAGCAGTAGTAGTAGTAGTACTTGTTGTAGTAATACCAGCAGCAGTAGTAGTAGTAGTACTTGTTGTAGTAATACCAGCAGTAGTAGTAGTAGTAGTACTTGTTGTAGTAATACCAGCAGTAGTAGTAGTAGTAGTACTTGTTGTAGTAATACCAGCAGTAGCAGCAGTAGTAGTACCTGTTGTAGTAATACCAGCAGCAGTAGTAGTACCTGTTGTAGTAATACCAGCAGCAGTAGTAGTACCAGTTGTAGTAATACCAGCAGTAGCAGCAGTAGTAGTACCTGTTGTAGTAATACCAGCAGCAGTAGTAGTACCTGTTGTAGTAATACCAGCAGCAGTAGTAGTACTTGTTGTAGTAATACCAGCAGTAGCAGCAGTAGCAGTACCTGTTGTAGTAATACCAGCAGTAGCAGCAGTAGCAGTACCTGTTGTAGTAATACCAGCAGCAGTAGTAGTACCTGTTGTAGTAATACCAGCAGCAGTAGTAGTACTTGTTGTAGTAATACCAGCAGTAGCAGCAGTAGCAGTACCTGTTGTAGTAATACCAGCAGTAGCAGCAGTAGCAGTACCTGTTGTAGTAATACCAGCAGCAGTAGTAGTAGTAGTACTTGTTGTAGTAATACCAGCAGCAGTAGTAGTAGTAGTACTTGTTGTAATAATACCAGCAGTAGTAGTAGTAGTAGTACTTGTTGTAGTAATACCAGCAGTAGTAGTAGTAGTAGTACTTGTTGTAGTAATACCAGCAGTAGTAGTAGTAGTAGTACTTGTTGTAGTAATACCAGCAGTAGTAGTAGTAGTAGTACTTGTTGTAGTAATACCAGCAGTAGTAGTAGTAGTAGTACTTGTTGTAATAATACCAGCAGTAGTAGTAGTAGTAGTACTTGTTGTAGTAATACCAGCAGTAGTAGTAGTAGTAGTACTTGTTGTAGTAATACCAGCAGTAGTAGTAGTAGTAGTACCTGTTGTAGTAATACCAGCAGTAGTAGTAGTAGTAGTAAGAGTTAATGTCTCACCTGAGCTGTCTGTGATGTAAACTGAGTGTAAACAGTTGATCGGCAGCAGAAACACAAAAATCAATAATCTATAGCCAAACGTTTCCATCCTGACACAGAGAGAGAGACTGAGAGCTGCTGTGTGCAGACTGAACTCTAACACACTCTCCTCCTCCTCTCCCTCGTTATCTCCTCCCTCTGTCTCTCTCTCCTCCCCCTCACTGCTCTGCCTCTCTGTCAGCAGCAGGAATGCTGCAGTACTTATATCCCTACAGTACCTATAATACTGCAGTACTTATATCCCTACAGTACCTATAATACTGCAGTACTTATATCCCTACAGTACGTATAATACTGTAGTAGTTATATCCCTACAGTACCTATAATACTGCAGTAGTTATATCCCTACAGTACCTATAATACTGCAGTACTTATATCCCTACAGTACCTATAATACTGCAGTACTTATATCCCTACAGTACCTATAATACTGCAGTACTTATATCCCTACAGTACGTATAATACTGTAGTAGTTATATCCCTACAGTACCTATAACACTGCAGTAGTTATATCCCTACAGTACCTATAATACTGCAGTACTTATATCCCTACAGTACCTATAATACTGCAGTAGTTATATCCCTACAGTACCTATAATACTGCAGTACTTATATCCCTACAGTACGTATAATACTGCAGTAGTTATATCCCTACAGTACCTATAATACTGCAGTACTTATATCCCTACAGTACCTATAATACTGCAGTACTTATATCCCTACAGTACCTATAATACTGCAGTACTTATATCCCTACAGTACCTATAATACTGCAGTACTTATATCCCTACAGTACGTATAATACTGTAGTAGTTATATCCCTACAGTACCTATAATACTGCAGTAGTTATATCCCTACAGTACCTATAATACTGCAGTACTTATATCCCTACAGTACCTATAATACTGCAGTACTTATATCCCTACAGTACCTATAATACTGCAGTAGTTATATCCCTACAGTACCTATAATACTGCAGTACTTATATCCCTACAGTAGTACTAATACTGCAGTAGTTATATCCCTACAGTACCTATAATACTGCAGTAGTTTTATCCCTACAGTACCTATAATACTGCAGTACTTATATCCCTACAGTACGTATAATACTGTAGTAGTTATATCCCTACAGTACCTATAATACTGCAGTAGTTATATCCCTACAGTACCTATAATACTGCAGTAGTTATATCCCTCCAGTACCTATAATACTGTAGTAGTTATATCCCTCCAGTACCTATAATACTGCAGTAGTTATATCCCTACAGTACCTATAATACTGCAGTAGTTATATCCCTACAGTACCTATAATACTGCAGTAGTTATATCCCTACAGTACCTATAATACTGCAGTAGTTATATCCCTACAGTAGTACTAATACTGCAGTAGTTATATCCCTACAGTACCTATAATACTGCAGTAGTTATATCCCTACAGTACCTATAATACTGCAGTAGTTATATCCCTACAGTACCTATAATACTGCAGTAGTTATATCCCTACAGTAGTACTAATACTGCAGTAGTTATATCCCTACAGTACCTATAATACTGCAGTAGTTATATCCCTACAGTACCTATAATACTGCAGTAGTTATATCCCTACAGTACCTATAATACTGCAGTACTTATATCCTTACAGTACCTATAATACTGCAGTAGTTATATCCCTACAGTAGTACTAATACTGCAGTAGTTATATCCCTACAGTACCTATAATACTGCAGTAGTTATATCCCTACAGTACCTATAATACTGCAGTACTTATATCCCTACAGTACCTATAATACTGTAGTAGTTATATCCCTACAGTACCTATAATACTGCAGTAGTTATATCCCTACAGTACCTATAATACTGCAGTACTTATATCCCTACAGTACCTATAATACTGTAGTAGTTATATCCCTACAGTACCTATAATACTGCAGTAGTTATATCCCTACAGTACCTATAATACTGCAGTACTTATATCCCTACAGTACGTATAATACTGTAGTAGTTATATCCCTACAGTACCTATAATACTGCAGTACTTATATCCCTACAGTACCTATAATACTGCAGTACTTATATCCCTACAGTACGTATAATACTGTAGTAGTTATATCCCTACAGTACCTATAATACTGCAGTAGTTATATCCCTACAGTACCTATAATACTGCAGTACTTATATCCCTACAGTACCTATAATACTGCAGTACTTATATCCCTACAGTACCTATAATACTGCAGTAGTTATATCCCTACAGTACCTATAATACTGCAGTAGTTATATCCCTACAGTAGTACTAATACTGCAGTAGTTATATCCCTACAGTACCTATAATACTGCAGTAGTTATATCCCTACAGTACCTATAATACTGCAGTACTTATATCCCTACAGTACGTATAATACTGTAGTAGTTATATCCCTACAGTACCTATAATACTGCAGTAGTTATATCCCTACAGTACCTATAATACTGCAGTACTTATATCCCTACAGTACCTATAATACTGTAGTAGTTATATCCCTCCAGTACCTATAATACTGCAGTAGTTATATCCCTACAGTACCTATAATACTGCAGTAGTTATATCCCTACAGTACCTATAATACTGCAGTAGTTATATCCCTACAGTACCTATAATACTGCAGTAGTTATATCCCTACAGTAGTACTAATACTGCAGTAGTTATATCCCTACAGTAGTACTAATACTGCAGTAGTTATATCCCTACAGTACCTATAATACTGCAGTAGTTATATCCCTACAGTAGTACTAATACTGCAGTAGTTATATCCCTACAGTACCTATAATACTGCAGTACTTATATCCCTACAGTACCTATAATACTGCAGTAGTTATATCCCTACAGTAGTACTAATACTGCAGTAGTTATATCCCTACAGTACCTATAATACTGCAGTAGTTATATCCCTACAGTACCTATAATACTGCAGTACTTATATCCCTACAGTACCTATAATACTGTAGTAGTTATATCCCTACAGTACCTATAATACTGCAGTAGTTATATCCCTACAGTACCTATAATACTGCAGTAGTTATATCCCTCCAGTACCTATAATACTGTAGTAGTTATATCCCTCCAGTACCTATAATACTGCAGTAGTTATATCCCTCCAGTACCTATAATACTGCAGTAGTTATATCCCTACAGTACCTATAATACTGCAGTAGTTATATCCCTACAGTACCTATAATACTGCAGTAGTTATATCCCTACAGTACCTATAATACTGCAGTAGTTATATCCCTACAGTAGTACTAATACTGCAGTAGTTATATCCCTACAGTACCTATAATACTGCAGTAGTTATATCCCTACAGTACCTATAATACTGCAGTAGTTATATCCCTCCAGTACCTATAATACTGCAGTAGTTATATCCCTCCAGTACCTATAATACTGCAGTAGTTATATCCCTACAGTACCTATAATACTGTAGTAGTTATATCCCTCCAGTACCTATAATACTGCAGTAGTTATATCCCTACAGTACCTATAATACTGTAGTAGTTATATCCCTCCAGTACCTATAATACTGTAGTAGTTATATCCCTCCAGTACCTATAATACTGCAGTAGTTATATCCCTACAGTACCTATAATACTGCAGTAGTTATATCCCTACAGTACCTATAATACTGCAGTACTTATATCCCTACAGTACCTATAATACTGCAGTAGTTATATCCCTACAGTACCTATAATACTGCAGTACTTATATCCCTACAGTACCTATAATACTGTAGTAGTTATATCCCTACAGTACCTATAATACTGCAGTAGTTATATCCCTACAGTACCTATAATACTGCAGTAGTTATATCCCTACAGTAGTACTAATACTGCAGTAGTTATATCCCTACAGTACCTATAATACTGCAGTACTTATATCCCTACAGTACCTATAATACTGCAGTACTTATATCCCTACAGTACCTATAATACTGTAGTAGTTATATCCCTACAGTACCTATAATACTGCAGTAGTTATATCCCTCCAGTACCTATAATACTGCAGTAGTTATATCCCTCCAGTACCTATAATACTGCAGTAGTTATATCCCTACAGTACCTATAATACTGCAGTAGTTATATCCCTACAGTACCTATAATACTGTAGTAGTTATATCCCTCCAGTACCTATAATACTGCAGTAGTTATATCCCTCCAGTACCTATAATACTGTAGTAGTTATATCCCTCCAGTACCTATAATACTGCAGTAGTTATATCCCTACAGTACCTATAATACTGCAGTAGTTATATCCCTACAGTACCTATAATACTGCAGTACTTATATCCCTACAGTACCTATAATACTGTAGTAGTTATATCCCTCCAGTACCTATAATACTGCAGTAGTTATATCCCTACAGTACCTATAATACTGCAGTACTTATATCCCTACAGTACCTATAATACTGTAGTACTTATATCCCTACAGTACCTATAATACTGCAGTACTTATATCCCTACAGTACCTATAATACTGTAGTAGTTATATCCCTACAGTAGTACTAATACTGCAGTAGTTATATCCCTACAGTACCTATAATACTGCAGTAGTTATATCCCTACAGTACCTATAATACTGCAGTACTTATATCCTTACAGTACCTATAATACTGCAGTAGTTATATCCCTACAGTAGTACTAATACTGCAGTAGTTATATCCCTACAGTACCTATAATACTGCAGTAGTTATATCCCTACAGTACCTATAATACTGCAGTACTTATATCCCTACAGTACCTATAATACTGTAGTAGTTATATCCCTACAGTACCTATAATACTGCAGTAGTTATATCCCTACAGTACCTATAATACTGCAGTACTTATATCCCTACAGTACCTATAATACTGTAGTAGTTATATCCCTACAGTACCTATAATACTGCAGTAGTTATATCCCTACAGTAGTACTAATACTGCAGTAGTTATATCCCTACAGTACCTATAATACTGCAGTAGTTATATCCCTACAGTAGTACTAATACTGCAGTAGTTATATCCCTCCAGTACCTATAATACTGCAGTAGTTATATCCCTCCAGTACCTATAATACTGCAGTAGTTATATCCCTCCAGTACCTATAATACTGCAGTAGTTATATCCCTCCAGTACCTATAATACTGCAGTAGTTATATCCCTACAGTACCTATAATACTGCAGTAGTTATATCCCTACAGTACCTATAATACTGCAGTAGTTATATCCCTCCAGTACCTATAATACTGCAGTAGTTATATCCCTCCAGTACCTATAATACTGCAGTAGTTATATCCCTCCAGTACCTATAATACTGCAGTAGTTATATCCCTCCAGTACCTATAATACTGCAGTAGTTATATCCCTCCAGTAGTACTACAGCTGTGTTTTGTCTCTCAGCTGTTTCAGCTGTCCTGGTTACATATTCTCTCTCTGTCTGCAGCAGCTGTAGTATCTGTTGTTGGGTTTAGTATCAGTTCAGTGATATTCAGAGACAGATCGCCGTCCAGGTGAGTCTACCTGCCGATCACCTGACTGCCAGGACTCACTATGTATGGCTAATATTGACCGCACTACTAACAGTAGCAGTAGCATTAGTAGTAACAGAGGCAGCAGTAGTACTAACAGTAGTACTAGCAGTAGCTACTGAGGGATCAATGCTTCTGTTAATGTACAATTGTTTTAAAACTCCATTACCCAGAAGACACTGGGCTCCACCCATCTGAAGGTGAGGAACATCAACACCGACACGTCATCAGCTCTGTGAAGTCACCTTGTTGTTGCTGTAAAGTGTGACGTTCAGGCAGGTCTGTTGTTTCTCTAAATCTCCTGCTGAAGTCTCAGGGTGGACAGTCTGTCCCAGCAGACAGCAGCACCGCCTGCTGGACAACAGCTCCACTTACAGTCTGCTGTACGCATGAATGTGTACATTACACCTGAAGGAATACTTCAACATTTCTGGAAATACTTTCTGTCTTCAAGAGAGAAGGAGATTTCCCTCTCTTCCACAACGAAGGATGAGTTTTCCCTCCTCTCTGTCATTCTAAGTTGTTTATTGTCTGATAATCTTTTTATGTGTTTTTAAACTTCATCATAATAAGATGTCTATGAAGATTCTCAGTCATCCAGGTCATAGTTATCCAACGAAGGTTAAAATGAAGGGCAACTGGACTTGCCCTCAACTCCTTCAGAGGAATAGCACCGAGCCACTGGTACAGATATGTGGACGACACCTGGGTCAAAATCAAAAGCCAGGAAGTGCAAGCCTTCACAGAACACATCAACTCTGTGGACAGTAACATCAGGTTCACACGAGAAGATGTTCACAACAACAGTTTGGCCTTCCTGGACTGCGCTGTACACATTGAAGAGGACAGGAGCCTGCAGATTGGTGTTTACAGAAAACCCACACACACAGACCAATACCTACTCTTCGATTCACACCACCCACTGGAGCACAAGCTAGGGGTCATGAGAACACTGCACCACAGAGCAGAAAACATACCAACAAGCGCCCAAGCCAGAGAGAAGGAACAGAACCACCTGAAGGGGGCACTTACAGCCTGTGGATACCCTAAATGGGCTTTTGTGAAGACAGCCACAAAATCCAAGAAGAACAAAACTACGGGGGATGAGGAAAAGAAGGTCAAACGCAACAACATTGTGATTCCATATGTGTCTGGAGTATCAGAGAAACTCAGGAGGATTTTTAACAAACATAACATCCCTGTGTTTTTTAAACCCAAGAACACACTAAGACAGATGCTGGTCCACCCCAAAGACCGCACACCCAAACACAAGAAAAGCAATCTAGTGTATGCGGTCCAATGCAGTGAGGAATGCACAGACCTGTATATTGGGGAGACTAAACAACCACTACACAAACGCATGGCTCAACACAGAAGGGCCAACTCCTCAGGTCAAGACTCTGCTGTCTACTTACATCTGAAGGACAGAGGACACTCGTTTGAGGACCACCAGGTGCACATTTTAGACAGAGAAGATGGATGGTTTGAAAGAGGTGTCAAGGAAGCATCTACACCAGGGTGGAGAAGCCGTCATTGAACAGGGGAGGGGGTCTATGCCACCACTTATCCCCCACTTACAATGCTGTCCTTTCATCACTTCCCAGGAAACTCAACAAACGTAACCTATTGGCCTCAGGTGAAGATACCAACGATGGTCGTTCAGTCTTGGCCTCAGGTGAAGATACCAACGATGGTCGTTCAGTCTTGGCCTCAGGTGAAGATACCAACGATGGTCGTTCAGTCTTGGCCACAGGTAGTCTCAACGACTGTAACGACTGTCGTCACAGCAACAAGGAACACTAACGAACCAGCGGTATCGATGACCCGAGATAACGACCCCACTGAGGTTAAATAGCTGAGTTTCCCTGCCAGTCAGTCAGAACTGAAGAAGTCCTTTGGATAAGGGACGAAACGTCTTCCAGTAGCTTCAACCAAGTCCAGTTGCCCTTCATTTTAACCTTCGTTGGGTTCATCATAATAAAAACTCACACAGAGACTCTCCCCCCACTGCTGAATCTGTAGATTTTATTCTCTATGGAGAAGTGACGTCCACTTTTTATTGATCTATTTATTGTAGTTTTGTTGTTTGAAGGATCGCACAGGTCAGTAGTACATATCAGTTGGGGTCTACAGGTAAAACTCAATGTTTTCACTCTGTTATTATGTTAGTATTTTTACACACAGGTCCGAAACACACACACATGCACAAACAGGACCCACAGCAACACAGAGAGATGTCAGAGTGAGGGGGCTTCACCTTTGGCAGTGCCCAGGAGGTGAACTGGCACCTGTCCACGCTCCGCAACTCTGGTCCGAGCTGGATTCGAACCGGCGACCCTCGACCCTCTAACCGGTGACCCTTCAGGTCAACAAAGGGGTTCTTTTTCAGCAGTGGCCCCAAAATAAATGGAATTGAACATCAGGTACCTGTTCTGTCCTCTGCAGAGCCGCTGAGCAGAGGTGGTAGCCGACAACAATCAACGTGGGTAGTGTGGAAAAACACACAGGTGCTGTGTTGGAAACGGGCTAAACTGCTGACTCAGGAGGTATCTAACACAGTGAGGCATCACGTGCTGTTCCAAACGATCTCTTCCTGTCTCATAAGATGCCTTCAAACTGACCCTGAACGGTTTTGAAGGCAGCATCTTACCCATAAACCGCAGCCGCAGCTAATAGATGACCAAATAATAATTATTTTAGCTAGTTTTTAAACTGGAATCCTCCTCCATGAAGAGGGGAATATATATGCCATGTGGCATGTCTATAAATAAACATTCATGAAACTTTCTCACATTGATATTTAATATGCAAATAATGTCAAAAATATTAATGCTGTAGAATCACGTCGGACAAATCCACCAACAGAATGAAACTGTCACAGTTTGGATCCATGTCTTGTGTTTCTTCTGTTCAGCCTTTTTTATTTATGATTTGAGTTTAGCCTAGTTCTGTCGTCCCCATCCTGCAAATCCCCTGTGCGTTCTTTAAAGTTAATAGTTGAATACTGATCTTAATGGTTAAATTACAGGGGTTCATGCTGGGTGCTGCCCTCTACTGGTCAGAGTTAATAATTCAGTGAAGCACACTCTTCAGTTGAACACAGACAGGCAAGAAAGACAGTGCTGGATTTATGTTGCTGAAAGTATTTCTGATCTGCTTCTGCCTTGGAGACTATGTGCCTGTAAGTAATGTGTAAATCATTTTCAATCACTTTTGTAAGGAATGTCATGTTAGAAACGTTTTTTATGCTTTGGTAAAACATGTGCTCTGTTAGCTAGCAGCACAGCAGTAGCTAGCCTGTTCTTTAATTGTTTTGTGACTTGTAGATGTTGTGGTAGGTGACCTGTGTTCTCATACAGTAGGCTACAGTGCCTGTTTTACACTTTGATAGGGATTGTGTAGTAACATAGATATGTGCATCAAATGTAATCTCTGTATGCATATGTTCATGTTTTGGGTACTGATATATATTCTTATTCAGTAATGTTTCAGTTTTACAAAACAAACCAAAAGAGGAAACAACTTCAGTAAAATACAAGAAAAGTCAAGCCTTGTGTGTTAATTGGAGGACTTTTGAATGTTAACTGGCTGTCTAGCTTTGCTCAAGAGATCGCATTACAAGGGCAGCACATCCCCTGTCCTCATGTTTTGGTTCTATCTTCTGGTCCTGTGTTTCCGGTTTCTATAATGCATGTCTTCTATGTTTTATTCTGTGCTGGTTTTGCTCCGCCCGTGTTCCTGTTTGGATTATCGGCTCACAGCCCCTTGGAGTATTGTTTGGTCGGTTTCACTGCCTGCCTGGTTATTGTCTTTGTTTGGACTCTCAGTTGGTTTTGGACTGTAATCTTTTTTTCTTTGGACAATCCTCTGGGAGTTGAGCTCCTTTTGTTTGCTAATAAAATGATCAAAACAACTTCTGCTGAGTCAGTGTGTGCAATTGACCTGTTTGGGCACATGATGACCACACTGGACAGAAACAGATTGAGGAATCATGTTTCACATGTTAGCAAATTATTTATTAGAAACTTGAACAATTCTGCGTATTTGTTTATTCAATAATTACCATCCGACTTCACCATCAATGAGAAAAGTACATTTGTGAAACTTACTAAAAGACCCCAAAGTGATTTTAAAGATACAACAAAATGCTCTTTTTAACAATCAGTAAATTAAAAACTTAATTTTCAGTAGAAGCTCAAAATCACAAAGCCATAACTTGTAAATAATCAAACTTCAGTAAATGATCAAAATACATTAATAATCATATGATTATAGAGACAGTGAGTTATAAATGACAATCCGTACTTTAGGACTTTAGTGCAGCAGATTTCACAAACACACCAGAGGTCAAAGGTCAAAGCAAAACCGTAAAACTCATAACTACAGCCTGTCATCTGAAAACAAGGAAGGAGGATCTGAAGAAGGAACTGGTCTGACTGAGGTGCCGGGTTCTTCTAAAGCTTGGAGGTCTTCATTTCTTTTATTATGTCAACCAACACACAGCCAGTGTGCCCACTGTGGCCCCTGCAGCCCCTGCAGCCACTGCTGCCCCTGTGGCCCCTGCAGCCCATGCAGCCTCTGAAGCCACTGCAGCAACTGCGGCCCCTGTGGCCACTGCGGTCACTGTGGCAACTGCAGCCCCTGCAGCCATGGCAGCCCCTGCAGCCCCAGTAACCACTGCGGCCCCTGCAGCCGATGCAGCCACTGCTGCCCCTGCAGCCCCTGTTGCTTCTGCAGCCCGTACAGCCCCCACAACCAATGCAGCCACTGCGGCCACTGTGGCCACTGCAGACACTGCGGCAAGTGTGGCCCCTGCAATCCATGCAGTCACTGCAGCCACTGCAGCCACTGCGAACCCTACAACCCATGCCACCACTGCAGCCACTGCAGCAACTGCGGCAACTGCAGCCCCTGCAACCCATGCAGCCCCTGCGGCCACTACAGCCACTGCGGCCCCTACAACCACTGCAAACACTGCAGCCCCTGCTGCCTGTGCAGCCCGTGTAGACCCTCCAGATCCTGCAGCCCCTGCTGCCTGTGCAGCCTGTTTAGACTCTCCAGACCCTGCAGTCCCTGCTGCCTGTGCAGCCCGTTTAAACTCTCCAGACCCAACAGCCCGGCCAACCCATGCAGCCACTGTGGCAACTGCGGCAATTGTGGCCCCAGAAACTGCAGCCCCTGCAGCCTGTGCAAGCCCTTTGGCCCGTGCAGCCACTGCAGCCACTGCAGGCTCTATGGCCTCTGTAACCCGTGAAGCTCTTGCAGCAACTGCAGGCACTGCAGCCCCTGCAGCCTGTGCAAGCCCTTTGGCCCGTGCTGCCACTGCAGCCCCTGTGGCCTCTGCAACCCGTGAAGCTCCTGCAGCAACTGCAGGCACTGCAGCCTGTGCAACCCGTGAAGCTCCTGCGGCAACTGCAGGCCCTGCAGCCTGTGCAAGCCCTGCAGCCCCTGCAGCTACTGCGACCCCTACAGCCCCTGCAGCCTCTGCAGCCTCTACAACCCGTGAAGCTCCTGCGGCAACTGCAGGCCCTGCAGCCTGTGCAAGCCCTGCGGCCCCTGCAGCTACTGCAGCCCCTACAGCCCCTGCAGCCCCAGCGGCCTCTGCAACTCGTGAAGCACCTGCGGCAACTGCAGGCACTGCAGCCTCTGCAACCCGTGAAGCTCCTGCAGCAACTGCAGGCACTGCAGCCTGTGCAACCCGTGAAGCTCCTGCGGCAACTGCAGGCCCTGCAGCCTGTGCAAGCCCTGCAGCCCCTGCAGCTACTGCGACCCCTACAGCCCCTGCAGCCTCTGCAGCCTCTACAACCCGTGAAGCTCCTGCGGCAACTGCAGGCCCTGCAGCCTGTGCAAGCCCTGCGGCCCCTGCAGCTACTGCGACCCCTACAGCCCCTGCAGCCTCTGCAGCCTCTATAACCCGTGAAGCTCCTGCAGCAACTGCAGGCCCTGCAGCCTGTGCAAGCCCTGCGGCCCCTGCAACTACTGCGGCCCCTACAGCCCCTGCAGCCTCTGCAGCCCCTGCAGCACTTAAAATCGGACCCTTTTCATTATGTGGCAAATAAAGCTTAAATCTTTCCCAGACATTTCTGCCTTCTCTGCTGCCTGATGGACCTGTCTCTCCTGATGGAACTGGCTTACCTGACAGACCTGTCTCTCCTGCTGTCTCTCCTGCTGTCTCTCCTGCTGTCTCTCCTGCTGTCTCTCCTGACAGGTTCCTCTGTTCCTTAAAGAAGGTCTCAGCCATCCTGAACATGTCATTGGTGTAGTGCTGTCCACCATTAGCTGTGACCATCTCATCTACTGTGTTCAGGAACTTTCTAACCTGCTCTCTGCTTCTGCTGGCTTTGTTGTTAAACACACAGAATCTACCACCACACATGGAGACCAGATTTTTTACATCTATGTTGGACTGGATCTCCTGATCAATAGACTGACCGCCTAGCTGGTCTTCATGAGTGAAAAGCACCATGGAGTACTGAAGAGCATTTCTGTCAAACAGTTTAGGAAGTAGCTCAAACAGTTTAACGTCTGCTGCTGTGATTCTGCCCAGTCTGACCACGATGATGAAGGCATGTGGTCCTGGACTGGCCTCTACTATAGACTTCATGACCTCCAGGTACAGCTGTTTATTAGACAGAAGTATATCAGTGAATCCTGGAGTGTTCACCACTGTGACCTGACGACCCCCCACTGTGGCTGACCTAGAGACGGTCTCTGTACTGACTGGATCAAAACCACCAGCTGATTCAAACAGATCTGATCCCAGGATGGTGTTTCCTGATGAAGTCTTCCCTCCTCCAGGTAGACCGAGCAGCACGATCCTCCTGTCTCTAGAAGCATCAGCTGGAATCAAAGGAGAACAGGTTAGTTCATCTCCTCAGAACTACTGTGTGAAAACTGACAGCACTCAACACAGACTGCTTCAGTCTGAAACACTTCAGAGTCACATCCAGTGGACACGGGGGTTTAACAGTTCAACAGGTCAGCTGGAAGTCATTTAGTGTTTGAGAGCAGCAACTACTTTAAACTTTGTGTAGAAAATTTATAAAATCAGCGTCATCCAGATCCAGGCTTTACTTCTAAAATAAATATATGTAGAATGAGATCACAGTACCTGGGGGATCAGGTTGGTTCTGGGTCCTGAGGCGGCCTGACTTCAGAAGCAGCTTTCTGACTTGGTCTTTATCATCAATCTCATTGTTGAAGAGGTGATACGCCCCCGCAAACATTTTACCAAGATCTGGAAGTGTACCTTCATCATCTTCAAAGATAAACTCCTCCAGTGTCTTGATGTCCTTTAAAGCATCACCTCCAGTGAACAGCAGGTAAGTAGCTTTCATCCCCCGAGGCCCGAGGACTCCCATAGCTGCCTTCACAGCCTTCTGGTCCTCCTCTGTGAACCGTCCAACTCTTATCACCACCAGGAACAAACAACGTCTGGAGGACTGCAGGAGCTGCTGGCAGAACTGTTTAACCTCCTCCTCTGTGTTTAATATTCCTGGAGTGTCAACCACTGAGATCTGTTTCCCAAACACTTCTCCTCTTTCTTCACGAATTTTTTTTGTAGCTGATTTATAGGACAGCTGCGACTCAAACACTGGTCTTCCAAGAATGGTGTTTCCTGAAGCACTTTTACCAACTCCTGCTTTTCCAAGCAGGATGATGGTGAGATCTGGATCTGGATTTGGGTTCATATCTGAGGATCAGAGAACCTGCAAGAGAATAGGGTTTGATTCAGTAAGTGGCAAAGGCATTAACTGTATATGTGGAAATATAACACTGAATGATTTTCTGTCTAGTAAACACAGAGCAATGATAGATGTCAGATGAGTATTACGTGATGGGCTGCTGTATGAATCACTACGGGCTGCTACATGAATCACTACAGGCTGCTGTATGAATCACTACGGGCCGCAGAATTAATCACTACGGGCTGCTACATGAATCACTATGAATCACTACGGGCTGCTACATGAATCACTACGGGCTGCTACATGAATCACTACGGGCTGTTACATTAATCACTATGAATCACTACGGGCTGCTACATGAATCACTACGGGCTGCTACATGAATCACTATGAATCACTACGGGCTGCTACATGAATCACTACGGGCTGCTGTATGAATCACTACGGGCTGCTACATGAATCACTACGGGCTGCTACATGAATCACTACGGGCTGCTACATTAATCACTACGGGCTGTTACATTAATCACTACGGGCTGTTACATTAATCACTACGTGCTGCTGTATGAATCACTACGGGCTGCTACATTAATCACTACGGGCTGCTACATTAATCACTACGGGCTGTTACATTAATCACTACGGGCTGTTACATTAATCACTACGGGCTGCTACATTAATCACTACGGGCTGTTACATTAATCACTACGGGCTGCTACATTAATCACTACGGGCTGTTACATTAATCACTACGGGCTGCTACATTAATCACTACGGGCTGTTACATTAATCACTACGTGCTGCTGTATGAATCACTACGGGCTGCTACATTAATCACTACGGGCTGTTACATTAATCACTACGGGCTGCTACATTAATCACTACGGGCTGTTACATTAATCACTACGTGCTGCTGTATGAATCACTACGGGCTGCTACATGAATCACTACGGGCTGTTACATTAATCACTACGTGCTGCTGTATGAATCACTACGGGCTGCTACATTAATCACTACGTGCTGCTGTATGAATCACTACGGGTTGCTACATGAATCACTATGAATCACTACGGGCTGCTACATTAATCACTACGTGCTGCTGTATGAATCACTACGGGTTGCTACATGAATCACTATGAATCACTACGGCCTGGTACATGAATCACTACAGGCTGCTGTATGAATCACTACAGGCTGCTACATTAATCACTACGGCCTGCTACATGAATCACTACGGGCCGCAGTATGAATCACTACGGGCTGCTACATGAATCACTACAGGCTGCTGTATTAATCACTACAGGCTGCTACATTAATCACTACGGCCTGCTACATGAATCACTACGGGCCGCAGTATGAATTACTACGTGCTGCTGTATGAATCACTACAGGCTGCTGGATTAATCACTACGGGCTGCTACATGAATCACTACGGGCTGCTGTATGAATTACTACGGGCTGCTACATGAATCACTATGAATCACTATGGGCTGCTACATGAATCACTACGGGCTGCTGTATGAATCACTACGGGCTGCTACATTAATCACTACGGGCTGCTGTATGAATCACTACGGGCTGCCACATGAATCACTACGGGCTGCTACATTAATCACTACGTGCTGCTGTATGAATCACTACGGGCTGCTACATGAATCACTTCGGGCTGCTGTATGAATCACTACGGCCTGCTACATGAATCACTTCGGGCTGCTGTATAAATCACTACAGGCTGCTGTATGAATCACTACGGGCTGCTACATGAATCACTACGGGCTGCTACATGAATCACTACAGGCTGCTGTATGAATCACTATGAATCACTACGGGCTGCTACATAAATCACTACGGCCTGCTACATGAATCCCTACGGGCCGCAGTATGAATCCCTACGGGCCGCAGTATGAATCCCTACGGGCCGCAGTATGAATCACTACGGGCCGCAGTATGAATCACTACGGCCTGCTACATGAATCACTATGAATCACTACGGGCTGCTACATGAATCCCTACCGGCCGCTACATGAATCCCTACGGGCCGCAGTATGAATCACTATGGGCTGCTACAGGAATCACTACAGGCTGCTACATTAATCACTACGTGCTGCTGTATGAATCAATACAGGCTGCTACATGAATCACTATGAGTCACTATAGGCTGCTATATGAATCACTATGGGCTGCTACATGAATCATTATGGGCTGCTACATGAATCATTACGGGCTGCTACATGAATCACTACGGGCTGCTACATGAATCACTATGAATCACTATGGGCTGCTACAGGAATCACTACAGGCTGCTACATTAATCACTATGTGCTGCTGTATGAATCAATACAGGTTGCTATATGAATCATTACGGGCTGCTACATGAATCACTATGAGTCACTATAGGCTGCTATTTGAATCACTACGGGCTGCTACATGAATCACTACAGGCCGCAGTATGAATCACTACGGGCTGCTATATGACTTCTTCTCTGGAATGTATGTTGGTTCTTGTAATGTTTGGGGCGGAAACAATAAAGACTTACGTAACATACAGGGCTTGTTGGCATTTATTACCTTTTTTTCCAACAGCATTTTACATGGATGAGATTTACATATGAATGAGGAAACATTGGAGATTGAGTCTCACAGTCTGTCAGTTCAGTGTACTGAACTCTTTATTTAACAGTGCCAAGGGAAAGTTTTCAAAGACATACATAAAACAATCAGCAAGCATGTAGAGGTGTTTGTGTGTGTGAGAGTAACAACAGAAGGAGCAGTGAGAGTGGTGGACATCACATGGGTGCATGCACGTGCAGAGGGGGGGTGCTATGGGTGCTTGAACACCTGCCCTTTTGCCCTTTGATGCCCAAAGTGCCCTTTCGTCAATGACAAATTTAATTAATTAATTAATTTTTAAAAAGGTCCTTTTGTGAAGGCCTGCCGAATAAAACTATTAGTAAAAATAATTTCGCAGTAAATATAATGACCCACCTGATGACCTCGAGCCCTCCCGTTCACACACCGTTAGTGATTCAGCAGCTCTGCCTGCAGGACACCTGCGATCCCGCCGGTAAGAGGGGTTTACCTCAACGTGCTTGTTGTGGGTTGCTGGATGTATTTTACAAGGAAGACGCAAAGAGAGCAGCACAGTAGTTGCATATTGCTGCGTGTTGCCAGTAGAAGTAATTTTAGCTGCTGACTAACACTGTGCCGACAGCTAACGTTGCTTCTACACACAGATAAACAAAAGTGGCTCTGTTCACTTCGTTCTGCTGTTTGAGGGAGAAAAGTTTCACGGGCGTCGTGAGGTCTGGTATTTTTTATATAATTTGACTAAAAACCTTTCACTTTAACTAGGATTATTACAGTAACTTAATTAAAAACGTAGTGTGCCTTAAAATAATTATAACAGCTTTGGTAAAACTGTTTTATTAGTTATTCCTCTGAATTATAGCCTACTTATCAGCCCGTTTTAAAACGATCATTTAAATCAGAACAGTATTTGAATAGATAGCAAACCTATTATATGAACTAAATAACTGGAAGTACATGTAATAATGTCAGTGTCAATATAAAATAAATAATATTCCTGACATCAAAGTAAAGAGTGAAGAAGAAATGGCCCTATTAGATTTCAGAAAAAGGTATGAAATGTTAATGTGAAAGGTAAATGTTGCTCTGTCATGGTTATTATGGGCCAACAGAAAGAACACACACATATTTTTAGATTTATGATTAGACATATAGTCAATCAAAATCCAATATATATCTCAGATTCACAATGCAATATATAAACTCATTATCATCATTATATTGCCTACACACACACACACACACACACACACACACACACACACACCTGTCTATAGATTTGTCTCTCTCTTACCGCTGCCTTGGCTAACCTAGTCATTTCTCCCAGTACTGTTTCCTTCCCAGATTATTTCCCACACTTTTGTTAACCTGGAATCTTATTTCCTCTCCCTGCAGCTCTGTGAGCGTCTCCCTCTTATTTTCAGCCTTGGCAGCGGCTGCAGCTACAGCAGGTCAGTCATAGTGAGTCTGTCCCAAATACTGTCAGCAATCTTTACATCTTGTCATGGTCACATATTTGTTTCATCAGCTTATATATCTCCTATATTTGTTATAATATCTCTAGTAACAGATCACCTCCAGTAGTATCAGCAGCAACCAAAGCAGCAGCTGCAACATCCCCAGCAACCCCTCAACAGCAACTGTTCCCTGTAAGTTATGTCAGCCCACCGTGTTTTAAAGCTGGATCTGGGAATTCCCTGTGTTTCTTTTTCAAAACTATGTCACAGCATTTGTTGATGTATCGATACAGAAGCATCTGTATACACATATAATCAAGGAATACATAATAATATATGTCTTTATCGATATTTTGAACAGTCCTATTTAAATCCTTGTTCCATGTGCCCCTTTTATACTTTGAGCACCTGCCCTCCCAAAGGTCTCTGCACGGCCCTGCATGGGTGTCTCATCAGCCACTGATCAAATAAAAATAGAAATAGTGGATAGGCCCACAAAGATGAAGAAAATGGTTTAAACCCCAGAACAGTGGAGACTCTCTTCCTGAACTCACCACAATAACATGGAACACAGCTGGAACTAGACTGAACTTTGTGCCACAGGTATGTTGATGTTCATGTAGCGAGTGTATATGTGGAGGTTAGTATAGCTATATATAGTAACTAACACTCTATCACACACAGTGTATTAGCATTCAATTGAAAGGTGTTGTGTTAGTTTGGATAGTGTGTGGCTGTTGTCTCCACTCACAGTCACAGGACTAAAGAAGTAACGACCCAGCAGGGTGGTACTGATGCAAAATCTGCAGGCATGAAAGCTGTCATTTTGTAACCGGTGTTCAAAATTCAAAAATGTGTTTGGTAACACAAATCAAAGTAAGAAACAAAATAAAAGATCCAGAAATGAGTGAACTAAACAAAAATACCAGTGGAGCCGAATCATAAAGCAGAAAAACATTTCCATTAAAAC